AGGGTGTCCGTGCATGTGTTAGCCAAATAATTTCTCCGTAATCTAAATTTTATTATTTCATAAAAATAAAATAATATATATATATATATATTTTTTTTAACTTTTGGGGAGCTAACAGGCGTGAATTTGAATTTATCATCATGCCATACACACAAGGAATTTATATTTCTCCCCCCCCCCCCTTAATATCACGTCTTTCATACAACTTTGTAAATTAAAATTTTCGTTTTGATTATTATTTTGTGGGCTGGCTCCTGGGCAACACCCCAGGTAGGCATGATCACTCCATACAAAATACTCATAAGGAATGGAAGACAAGGAAAGACTAGCATGGAGAGTAAATAAACAAGGGGAACAAACATGGAAACTGCGCATGCAAAATGAGCCCGAGAAACATTATAAAGAATTTGGTTAGTGAAGAAAATAAAATAAGAAGTGAACTAAAGGAGTCAGACTCCATGCACAGCTTTTAATGTATGACAGTTTAATATTCACCAGATTGTGGGCAGCAGTTGATTGATTAAGAGTTGAAAGGCAGGACTCAAGAGCCGAAGATCGACCCCCTTAAGTATACCTAGGCAAGTAGGAAGACACCTATGAGGTGCTCAACAGTTTATTAACTGTTATCAACACCGACACGACACGCTCGCGCTGTTCTGATGCCTCAATAGACTAACATAAGCGTCTTATGGTACACGTACCGTGGATCACAGCAGCCTGGGGACGAACCAGCTTCTGTGTCGTGGATCACAGCGGCTTGGGGACGAACCAGCTGCTGTATTGTGGAGCACAGCAGCTTGGATTCGAACCAGCTGCTGTGTTGTGCAACCCGTCCTCGACTCAAGTCCATTACATCCAGCGGTCGACCCCACAGACGCATTCATAAATTTTAACAAACTGTTCAGTCAAACGGGAATTTTCTCAAATATAAATTTATATCATAATATATTAGCATATTGTGCATATATAGGCATAGGTTAGGTTAGGTTAGGTGTATAGGTTCTGTTGGCGATTATTTGTATTTGTAGTACGTGGGTGAAGCATTTACAGCGTCGTGGTTCGAACAAAATTCGTCAGTGAAGCACTTGTTCCGGATACGTTCGAACGTCAGCAGTTGTGAGTCGTGTGTAAACCGTTTTTCATTCATAAACAGGGGGTTTGGCGAGTGCATGGAATCACTTGTCGATCTTTGTTTGGAGGACGGGCTGGGATCCAGCCCGTCCTCCAAACAAAGATCGAACATATCCGGAACAAGTGCTTCACTGACGAATTTTGTTCGAACCACGACGCTGTAAATGCTTCACCCACGTACTACAAATACAAATAATCGCCAGCAGAACCTATACACCTAACCTATGCCTATATATGCACAATATGCTAATATATTATGATACAAATTTATATTTGAGAAAATTCCCGTTTGACTGAACAGTTTGTTAAAATTTATGAATGCGTCTGTGGGGTCGACCGCTGGATGTAATGGACTTGAGTCGAGGACGGGTTGAGAATGGACTTGGTCTGAGGACGGGAGGTATTGATCACAGCAACTGGAGGCGAACACGACCAGGATTCATCAAGTGTTTACGCATTTACGAACCTGTACATCTTTTCTCAATTTTTGGCGGCTTTACTTTTATTGAACAGTTTATGAGTTCCGAAGCAGTAGGAGGCTGTTTATAACAATATTAACATTTGATTGGGAAGTTTCAATGCTATAAACTTGTTCAATGTAAACAAAGGCGCCAAATATTGAGAAAATATAAACAGGTTTCTAAATTCTTGATGAATCCTGGCCAGGTGTGTCGTGGTTCACGGCAGCTTAGAAAGCCCAACAGGTAAGATAAGATAAGGCTGAAAATATTTATTCAGGTAAATGTACATACATTGAAAATGAATTACAAACATAATAGATACAGCTAGTACATACAATGCCTGAAGCCACTAATATGCACAGCGTTTAGGGCAAGGTGAAGGAAAAAAATCTTAAGACTAAAACTTAATACTACTTGAGATCAAAAGATAAATTTAATTTAAAAAAAAAGGAAAACAAGAATAAGAGAATGATAATAATTACATGATGGATAAGACAGCAGAAAATGCAACAGAACAGCAGAAGGAATTTTAACTGAATAAACAACAGATTACAATTTTCTTTAAGAATATACATGGCAGATATCAGCAGTTAAACAAATTGGTCAATAATCAATAATGTTTGAAAATAGTAAGACATAGGTTGACATTTAGGAGGTAACAGGTAGGTTACATGGAGTTTATTCCGTAGTACTTAATTTTTCTCTTAATTAAACTGGTTGAGAGAGGTACAGCCTTTGTCATGATTGGGAAGGTCATTCCACATTCTAAGTCCCTTGATTTGTGGAGCATTTCTAGTTTGGTTAAGTACTTAGTTTTAGGAATGTGATGGATCAAAGCACCTTAGAAAGATTGTAGAAATATCCTAAGCTGCTCTATCCTTCTGAGATGTATTTTATTGTCTCAATAAACGTCTTCATGGGACCTGGCTACATAGATGTAGGGTGAGGCGTGTCCAGGGATTATAAGGTCTATGGGGTCAATAAAAGGACGAGGGAGATCACGTTTCATCGCGGGAGACATCTCCCGTCACGCAGGGTGCAGTCGCACCTCCACAGATCTCCAGTATCATCTATTGATACTGGTGATGGCTCAAAAGGGCCACCACTTACGGGCTATTTATGCCCGTGCCACCTTTTGGGTGGCTTAATCTTCATCAATCAATCAATCACGTCTCATCCAGGAGTACTTCGTGTCACTGTTAACTTCAGGTGGAAATGCCAGCCTGTCATATATATCCCGGGGTGTTGGAGGAGGAGGTCGTTGTCCACCCTTTGTGGGGGCGGCATTGGTCATCTTGACAGCATTGTTGGCTTTCTTGGCCGTCATCTCTTTGCGTAAGGTATTCTGGCTTTTGTAGGTAACAAAACCACTGTTTGATTTTGTTTCATCACCTGAGCTAGCGTCGTCCTCATCATACTGGGATATAATGGGGTGGGGCGCTTGCACATACTGTACTTCATGCGGGGTGGTGACTAAAGTGGACGCATATTCGTCTGGAGAATTTTGGAAAGGGTCAACCAGGTCACTGTGGGACGAACAGTGATGTTCCACAGTGCAGGAAGGTGGGGGGGGGGGGGACGTAGCCATAGTCGCAAGAATTACAACATTAAGTGAAAAGTCGGAGACTTTTTTACCAGACTTCAGTCGATGGCCCGGACCCCAGGAGCAACAATGGCTGTCTATAGCAACTAAATGCCATAACGTTATATTATTATAAGCTATTACTCTTCTGCTCTAGTGTACCTAACCTTTACCAAAATTTACCCAAATACTGGTATAATTCAGGTAATATTACAGTTAAAATATTGTTGCCATTATCGGTAAGGAAAATTTAAGGTGATTGCACGTACAGTAATTGGGAACATTAATAGTACAGTATAAGGAAATATGACTATCAAAGAGAACAAAAATTTCTGAAAAATTACCCAAAATGAACCACATACAAAAAATAACTTAAAATTTGTGGATTTGTTCATTTGATGCATACGCTATTGGGATTTGTGTGTGTAACTTTTAAAATATTTTCCTACCGTATTATTGGTATGGAAAATTAGGGGCGATTGTGCATAACTGAAGTTGAAAATGTATTATTGTTTTTATTTTATAAGGAAATATGACTAAAAAGAGGATAGTTCTCACATAGGTGTTGTCCAGCATGACACAAACAAGGCAGCCAAAACTGCGTGATAAGCCTGAAATTGAGTGGGTTAAGGGCATCCTAATCTCTGCTGTAACAGCCGTAATATGTCATGAAATTAGCGATGGCAGTAGATCAGTTACCGACTCAAAATGCCAGAAGGCACGAGCATAAAGAGCTATCACATGTTTAGAACCGATTATATGTACGGGCAGCATAAAACATCCACTAGCCAGTGTGACATTGTAATTGACAGAATTAGGTTGGGATATCAATAACTATGGCAGGTGTCTGCAGGTAATGAATCCCCCAATGGTGAACATTCCAATTGTAAACTATGTGAACAAGAGCTGGGACATACTCTCCAACACTGTATCTGTGATTGCCCTGTTATAAGTGACTTCAGACCAAATGGTATGAGGTACTATGAGCTAATTACTTCACACACTCACGAATATTGGAAGATATTCTTGAGCTGTACCCAGATTTTGCTAGTGGAGGCTAATAAATCAATCAGCCTCGCATTTATGTTCTCTCCCGACTCCATGTATGACTAACCATCCTGTGAGATGGGAATATTAGTTTCTGTTCTTTTCTGTGACACCGACCAATCACCTACGTACCTATATATTATTATTGCCAAAAATAATTATGGAATGCTATGCAATGTGCAACGTAAATATATATAAAATATTGGAAATTCAGTGGCACCTCTCACGAACAATTCTTTATCCAATTTATATTAATCGTCTACCCATGAAAAACAAATTTAACCAATTTGATACCAATATTAATGTTCAAAGCCTTTAGACAGCTTGGCAAACAGAATATGAGTAAACAAATAAAATATCACCATGCTACTTTCAAAATTTAATGAAAAAAATAATTACCAAAACGCACCAAAAACAAAAAGTATTTTTTTCTACCACAATACTGTATAATCATGTACCGTAATTTTCATTAAAAAAAAATTATTTCCATAAATAACATGTAGAATTAATACTTTGCTACACCTGTATTTAGATATCATTATCAAATTCTGCATTTAAAATACCATAATCAACGTCCCAACTTTACAAATGGCTTCACAAATCAGAAAATAGTATACACCTTTAGTCACCTGGTACCTACCGAAGGGAGTGGTTCGCACTGGCCTCTGAATGTCAAACTGTTAATTAATAACTCAATGCAGCCAGCCAAGCTTCAAAAACAAAAATTATATAAATTATATTGGGAACAGCTGTATGATCAAGGTTATAAAACAACTTTGGCTTATAACACCTAAATTTATTAGAAAAGGATATCTAGATCTACAATTTTTAGTTGATTTTAATGTTTTATAAGAAATAGCAGTACCTTTTAGAAACTCTTAATAAATCGATAAGTAACATCAATTGCTCTTTTCAAGTCACAGTTTGCAAAGGCTTAGGATAAAAACAAAATTCCTAGTTATGGGTCCCTGATAGAGGTTATATATTCTGATCAGATTGTCTCTAATTACCCAACACTTTGTAATCCAATAATTCAATTGGACAGTAGTAGGGCAAATAAAAATCAGATCAAATAAAAGAGTACAAAATATGTATTTTGAAGTAAAGCTTGAGAACGGGGACTCATAACTGGGCATTTCTCAAATTATCTTTGAAGAACCAGTAGCCACTTTCACATAATAGATAAACAAACAACTAAATTTGTCCCAGAACTAATAATTGTAACCATCAAGCTTAACCATTTTACCAAAATGTATTTCTAGGTAATGACCAACAAATTTGTTTAAATACTGTACTAAGTTTCCATATTCAACATACCTACATGTTGTGTGTGTGTTCCATGTACAAAACATTTGCTACAATACTGTACCCCCTACCACAGGCACAATGATATGTTAGCTCAGCCTTTACACGATTCTTATTCATAAAAATGGATATGCAAATTACCTACCTACTGGAATTTCATCAAGTTCATTGACTTTGCAGCAACATTTGCATGAAAATGAATCGGATATACCTGCATCTCAAGTGCTTGCATGCAAACAAAAAATAAATACTGTATAGGAAACTAAAGCATTCAGCCTCAAAGATGACTCCAAAGAGCAAACTTGATAACTCTCATATATACATGTAATAATATTAAGGTCTATCACAGAATTTAACAGTTAATATAACGAGACACCTTTAGCTGAAAGATATAAAACCATTAATTGGAAGGCTTTTTATTTTATGAAACAATGTGTCACACTGCAGAGGTTCCACACAGGTTTCATTCCTTTCCTAGTAATAGGTGCTGTATTACACTGTATCATTCACAGTGACTTACCCCAAGTTTGGCTCCACTGAGTCATGTCAAGATGCTGCTCTACTACCAGAGGTGACAGCAGTTTATCTCGTCATATTCAATAACAATGCAGTATCACAAGATAAATCTACGGGTTCTTTATCATTAAAGATCTTTATATACAATCTTTCCATACCTATGCAAAATTTTTAAAATCCTAATTTATTACCCAAGATGCATTGTTATAAGGAAGTCTCCAACAAAAGATGGGGTTAGGGGGCAATAACCATTACCAAGTCATATGCCAATCAACATTTAATATCAAGTTACAGGCAAAAAAAAAGTAGCAAAATTAACAGAAGCCAACCAAGGAGCAATAATCACATTACATGTAAATCACAGGAAATGGAAAAAATATATCAAAATATCAATGTGTAACAACTATCAGTTCATCCTTTACAATAACCAACATATCTATAATGAAGCCATTATTAATTTTCCATCCACCAGTGATTTACCAACAATTCTTTTTTTTGACCATGGGCAACAACAGCTTCTACACGACACCGCCAACTCTCGTTGCAGTTTGGGCTCAACTAAAAGCCAAGCTTTTCTTTCCGAGCTTTCACCTGCACTGAAACTTACTCGCTACCCACCTCAACATAAATTACTCAGTGCCACTGCTAAATCATATCCCTGGCCACTACAAGATTATACAGTACTGTACAACACAGGTACGTTTCATTGACAAATTACCTTCAGAAATCTTTAAATTAATATACATATTACAAGTAATAAAGAATTCAGGGTAAAATGAACTTGATAAAGATTTAACAATGCATATTTATCTAACTTTCCACTAATCCCCCCCCTTCCCCTTTCTAGAACTTTTTTACTTTTTATAATTTTATATTGAAAAATGTGAACTTTCATATCAAACAATGCCCCAACCATATTTGAATTACAGTATATAAATAAACTAGTAATGATTTCCAAATAAAATACAATAATGGTGCACACAATGGCAACAAAGCAAGCACACACTTACAATCATTGCTTTGAAAAGATGAAACATTTTGTAGCAAAGATTTCAAGTTCATTATCAACGTGAACAATAACAGTTATGTAGTCCATGCTATGTTTAGCAACAAATTATAATTGCCTTTCTTTTATCAAGTCATTGGTGCATTTTCAATATTTTACCTAACTTCACATTTGTTGGCCCGACTCCAATATATGACCAACAAATTTCTTAACGTTTAAGCAAGTGCAAATCAAGCATCGTACACAGCAAAGGAATTAATGCTCTGTATGTACATAAACCTCCATGATCCATTCTGTGCCAATAAATCAAGGTATCTCTTTAGTTTTGCGACATTTTCTAAACTGGAAAATGCTGCACACATCTGGAAATGCTACCTAGATTTCACTTGCAAAATAAAATCTTTCCACCACAATATGTGACGTGAGCCAGCACAGCATCTGACTACCATGCCTGCAACGCGCACATAGGACAGCGGGCTATGTAACAATGTAGGTCAGACAGTGAACCTGTTCTTGGCCGTAGATCCAGACTTTATCATTGTGTCAGTATGAGCTTGGAAACCAATGTTCACATGCCGAGGGATGTTGAGACGCTCTTTCAAAACATGCCTGGGGAAATAAATAAAAAAAAATCTAAATATATAGCAACTAATGCATCTCAACAACTAATACATTTTTGCCTCAGTACCCCACATTGTATTTGTATAAGTTTTCCCATGAATAATAAAAGACAGCACAGCATAGAACACTATCTATATTTACGTATACAATTCCTTAAAACAAAGTCTAAAGAATTTTTGTTTTCGATCTAAATGGCTACGGGTAAAAACTGTACAAGTTTATTCTCATCTATCCATGACTAGTGAACATTCAAGATAATACATATACATTGTAGTACATAGTTATTAGATGTACCAAATTGTCTCGGCATGACTGATGGGACAAGTACAATAAATAAAGCTAATGTTATCTAATGCAGAAGTAAAGATTCAACTAACCAATCAATGGATAATATTGAAAATTTAATGACAAACATTAAAGGTGGAATTAAACTGAAAGAATCCTGGACCGAGGTCACCTATTACATTGCTGATCAAGTTTTCATGAGGTGACTGAGGGAGTATTCTGAGGTCATCTTTAGCAGTGAAAAAGTCAAGTTTTATCATTCTATTTTACTGTATTTGTATTAAGATTAAGGGAAAAGACAAATCCTATCTCCCGTCCACAATCCTTCTTTACATGATAACCATTTTTGCATTGAAATGTTATGTTTAGAGGAGGGAAGAGGAGTATGGCCTCTTGCAGAATGTAGGAGGCATATATTATTGCCTCGCCTTTGTTTGGATTCTAAGACAGGATGACACTATACTTGAACTTTTAACATCAAGGATTAATATATATTTCATTAACCAGGCTCATACAAGAGTAATGTACTTATTAAGCACTTCTGCCTTGCTTTATTAAAGAACTTTACTTAACAAGGCAGCATCTAAAAATATCTTACATTTATTAGCTGTTATAAAAAACAAAAAACAAAAACTTACCCAATTTTAAGAATGCTTTCATTTTTCTTCGCATCTGCAGTCCACACACCAATCTTGTCTCCCTTACTGCGTACATTTACAACTGCACCACAAACTTCCTCGCTGTGATCCTCAAAAGCTTCACCAATCATTAACAGGAGCTGAAAATGGATTTAAAGCTGTATATATTCTTGTTTTTTTAAATAAGTGAAAAAAAAAACTGGATTATAGCAGGTACAATAAAGGGTATATAAAAAACCAGCATTGAATGTAATGATACGCCATTTTCTGGGCGAGCCTCGGAAGCTCGCTGAAGCTATCCAAACTGATATGTGCTATATTAGTTTGGGGTCATCAATCCTTATGCCTAATGCCTACTGGCAACCATGAGCTCCCTCAGCAAGGCACAGTGAGCAATAGCATATTGAGCACTTTACATTTAAAGTATGTTGTAATTGCCACTGACCGGGAAAGCACTCAGAAAGATAGGTGAAATAAAACAGACCACAATCTGGTGAAAATTGGGACCTACGTCTGAAAAGAGCAAAAAAAAAAAAAAAAAACAGCAGACAAACAAGAAAGAAAACAAACAAGCAACACTTCATTTAATTGGTACTCCTCCTTGTTAGTGCTCCCCTCCCCTCAAAATGGGGGAAGGGGGAGCCGATAGCCCACTACTCCAGTTCTTGAACAATAAAGACTGGAGGGACAGAGGGTGTCGGGGAGCCTCCGGGACTCGCCCAGAAAATGGAGTTTCATTATATTCAATGCTGGTTTTCTGTCGAGAGCCCTGTCAACTTCCTGAGGCTAACTAGCCACAGATAAGTAAAAAAAACAGGGACTTACAGCTGCGACAGATCCAACACAACACAAGGCCGGAGAGGGCTAGGGACGTTCATGAGATACCTGGTGGCCAGGACCCTGTTCGACCTCCAAAACCCCCGCGCCCGAATGTCGACTCAAGATATATTACCAAAGACAGCAGCAAGAGCAGCATACTTCCTCACATCATGGGCACGAGGGTAGACCACAGGCTGGCTAGGCTAAGTACACTGCAGACAACCTGATACACATGAGCCCTGGAACAGGGAACCAGGGAAACTAGATCCACCCAGAATTTCCCCACCGCAACAGAACCAGGGGCCCGCAGGTAGCGACGGAAAGCCGCCACCAGACAACACATGACGCGCCCCCGGCCTAACCAGCCAAGCCCCCACAACGCTGAGACGAAGACTGCAGTTGGGACATCATCAAAGAAGCCACCGATTACCATACAAATGGCGATACACCTGCATCAGAAAACTCTTCTGCATCAAAGGGGAAGAGTAAGTCGAATCAGTGAGGTACCACACCGGCCCGACCTGCCAAAAGAGGTGGAGCCGTGAAAAAACTCCTGTGTTCAGACACCGAGAAAGCAGCACCTGAAACCAAGGCTGGGCCGGCCACCACAGGGCCAGGAGTTACTACCCTCCCTTATTAGCAAGGGTAGTAACTTACAGAACACCTAGGGAAGATGTCCCTAGGCACATGCTGCTCTGCCTGCAAAAAGACACTGGCCACCACACCACACACTACTGGTACAGTCACACAGGGCAAAAGCCAGAACAGGAAATTAAGACCAGAGCTCATCAGTTGAAAAACTGGAGTGGGTGACTGGAGTGGTGGCTGTCGGCTCCCCCACCTTCCATAGCACTAATGAGCAGAAGTGCTAGTTGGGTGAAGTGTTGCTTGTTTGTTTTCTTTCTGGGGGATTTTTTTTTTGCTATGTGCAGATGTAGGTAGCAATTTTCACCAGATAGTGGTCTGTTTTGTTTTGCCTATCTTTCTGGGTGCTCTCAAAGATCGATGGAAATTACGACATACTGTACAGTACAGTACTTTAAATGTAAAGTGCTCATAGGCCATTGCTCCCTGCGCCTCTCTGAAGGGACCAGGTTCTGGCTCGTGGTTACCAGTAGGCATAAGGACTCCAGGGACTGATAATCCCAAACTAATATAGCACATATCAGTTCGGATAGCTTCAGGGAGCCAACGGGGCTCCTCACAGAAAAAAAAAAAAAAAAAAAGAGGCTAAGCGTATCCAAAACTCTCAGGTCTCAGGGGTGAAGGGTAATACCCACCTAACAGGTGGCAAGTGGGGGACAGTATAAATGATGACCGGTTTGTAGCAAAATCAATAGGCATCCCTCAAACTCACAAGAAGTGACTGCGGGCTAGGACAGGTCGATCAATAACAACACACACTAAAGACCCACAGGGTTTGCCAAGGCCTGATGGTAAAGACCAAGCAGGACACCAAGGCACTAGGGATGCTTGCCATTTGACGTTAACCTTACTGCATCCCTTAATAAACCCCTGAATGCCCCAACCTCAGAACTTAGCACAGGAGTCAATGACTCTTGCACTACTCTGAGTGAGGCAACCTACACAGTAAGCTGGCAGGCTTCTATGGGAGAAAGTTACTGTGTCAAGGCAGAGGAATCACTAGTTGAACACTTAGAGAAGGCCAGCCCTAAGCAAATGCAGCAAGTCTTACAAACACATGCACATGAAGCAAACACTAAATATTTAAATGATACACAAGCAAATTGGCTTTCACACACTAGTCTAAATGACGGCCACCTATCTAGACATAGCTGGGATGCACAAGGCTGGCGACTCGAGGAGCAGTCCACACTGTTGGACATAAAGCTCCAGACTTAGTAGTGTTGACATGGAGAGCCAGCAGCTCCTGGTAGTGTTGCCACCTGGCAGTGGCCAGCTGTAAGTAGTAGGGTTGCAATCTACCCGTTGATTACCTGTCAATGATTTCGAGGATCAATGTCCCTGTGGTCTGGTCTCTTGGTTGCTGGTCTGATCAACCAGGCTGTTCATTGTGGCTACTTGCAGCATGATGTACGAGTCACAGCCTGGTTGATCAGGTATCCTCTGAAGGCGCTTGTTGAATCTTCTCTTGAACATTGAGAGGTCGACCAGTTATGCTTCATAAGTGAAGGGCAAGTGTTGAAATATTTTGGGCCTTTGATGTTGACAGTTCTCTCTCAGTGTGCCTATTGCTCCTCAACTTTTCAGTGGGGCTATATTTTGCACATCCTGCCATGCTTTCTGTGCATGTGGTGTTATTTCTATGTGCAGATTTGAAATCAGTCCTCCTAAGATTTTTCAAGTGTAAATTATTGTGTATCTCTCCTGCCTGCACTCTAGGGAATGCAGATTTAATTTTTTTAGGGGGTCCCAATAATTTAGATGTTATACTGAGTGGATTTTAGTTGTAAAATACCTTTACACGTTCTTCAGGTCAGCAATTTCTCCAGCTGTTAAGTGTGCAACAATATTCCACCCTAGAGAGCACTAATGTCTCAGTATCCTCATTTGGTGTGGCATCTCTTGTTTGGAAAGTTCTTGTTATCCCAACTATCATTTTTCTTCCAGTTGTGATAGCAAATTTGTTGTGCTCTTTAAAAGAAAGGTCTTCAGATATGGCAACTCCTAAATCTTTTAGTGCATTTTCTTTCAATAGTGTGGTTTGACTGTTATATATGTGGTTTCTGCTTTGAGTTAACTGTTGGGTGGATTGTTTTATGGAATAATTTGCTTCTTTGTTCCTATATTTGCTAATGTCTGTATTGCTTTGCTGACTTCCTGGACGTTTCTTCAGTGAGGGTGCTATTTAGATCCATGCTCCTTGTGCCTCTGTGATGGTCAGATTCTAGCTCTGGTCCCCAGTTGGCCATTAAGGACTCCTAGGACTGATATGACTGTGTGTGGAGGTTTCTCAGTAAAGCTAGCTACAAGGCATTACCACTTGTCCCCTCCACAAATAACTTTTAATTAACTGTTAATTCAGTACTCTCAAACTCATACCTCATTTACACACAATAGTGGAACAATACAAAGATAGGTGTAGACTTTGCTGAAGATAACATTTTTCCTCCAAGGTTTTTATTTTTTGATAAATCCCTTACAAACAATTCATCAGTGATAAAGTTTTTTTACAACTTTCACATTGTCAGCACTTTGTGATCTATCTAATCAACAAGCCAAAAAAAATCTATATAAAATTCTTACAACTCTATCAGTGGGCGTGCAGTAAGTGAAAAGTGTTAAATTTGAACCCTATGCTATTATAACAGGAATGTTAGAATTAATAAATGGCTATTAATCTTACAAACTGAACTGTTTTCATAAAAAAAAAAAAATTAGGTTTTAGGATAAATGTGTTTATATATAATGAGCAACTCTAGCTGTATTAATATACTTATATCACTGTACTGATTTACAGAATGATATTGTGAATCATTCTCTCCATTCTCTCACCTCACAATCAACTAACTTTTCACTCAGTAAGTGATAAGAAGTGTAATTATTGCACAGTGTGTGATGTAATCATCATCTTGAATATGATCCAGCACTGGACAACCCTGATGTTGAACACGGCAGAAGACACGACTCAAACTATAGTACATCTAACCTTACTCTGAATTATAAATGAACATTACAAGACATTAAACAATATTTTTTCTAAATACCTGTCCCATGATTGTCATAATATTCTAAATATAATACAGTATATGTTTATACTAGTGATGTGCGACAATTCTGATCGCCAATGTATTTTGATTAATCTCTATAGATATTCCTCCACATAACAGAATTGGTGGCATTATATAGATTAGTGTTTCTCACTCAGTTTCTGTGCAGCCCCAAGGCTACTAGGGATTCCACAAGAGTTATAAATAGGCTAATTATAATCATATGCAAATGTATTTCTAAGTTTTTTTTCCATTGAACCAGTATCAAGTGCAAGGACAAAAATGATCTTTCAGTTGACAACGACATTCATGTGTTTATCTAAAGTACGACTTGGAATTATTTCAAGGGTACAAAGATTGAGAAATGCTGGTGTAGACCAATATCTCTACTTTCAATTCACATCACCGGTTTTTCTACTAGCATACTATTTATATTTTTTTATTCTACTTGGAACATTCTTAAAAAGTACTGGAACTGCACTTTTGGTGTACTTGGAGCTTCCAAGATGTGTGCATCTGTGAGCAAAATAAATTTTGGCAATTGTTGAAGAAGTCTGGAGGCATTTAGGTGTGCCTACAGCTGTTAAAAGTCTCAGGAAATAGTTTTCATGTTTTAAAAAGTTTGGAAATTTGTCAAGTGCCCACAGGACCTGTTAGGTTAACGTGTCACCTACTCCACACTATCTCAAAATCCTGGCACCTCTCCAAACAAGATATTCATGGATTATTTGTAAAGGAAATAGGGACTCCCTAAATTAAATTGAGGAAATATTGGATAATATATAAATTTTGAGTAGTGGCAAATGCTTTCATGGTGTTAGGAGAATGGCATTGAGGTCTGGCCTCGTAGAAAAAGGCTAGTGAAGAGTTACTCGCCCTCACTCAGATGACTCTCAAAGTATGGCAATTACAATTTTATTTCCATTTACCCATAATCTATAGTCTTACTTTACAGTACGATACATTCATATGAAAAAAGCTTCCTGGATGAGAGTCGCCACACCCAAGTTGAGTAAATAGGAATTTGTACTTTATTTCTGCGTAATTTCCACGTGTTTTGAAATAACTTTGCAAGAAAAATGTCAGTTTTGGATGGCTATTCTTTTGTAGGGGAAGAGGGGGGGGGACAAAACTCTCTTTTGAGTATTATAATAAACTGTTTTTGTCATTGCCATAATTTTTTTTTTTTTTTTTACATTGGAAAAAACTTTAAGCATTCTCTAGGTTGCCTCATTATGTTGCACCATTTCCTAATCTCAAGATAATTGTAGTGAATATTTTTTGCTTGGACTTGAATTGGTGGGACTTTCTTGAACTCCTCTCTTCCGTCTAACTCCTCCTCCTCCTCCTGCCAGTCTGATGGAAGACTTTTCCAGGCTGTGTCATTTTGTTGGCTCTTCTGTGGCCGATTCTGGCTTGGTTCCCAGCCCTTCTCACTCATTGTTCCCACCCTCTTACAATTCCTGGATTTTGCCTCTCTTAGACAGTCAGCTTCAAGACTTAACCGGATGGTTTGAGTATGCCCCAACCTCAGAATTGTACATAATCCACCAGTCTCTCTGACCCCATATCCACTCTACTTTCCCGTGGGGTAGAGTGCATCTTGGGGACTGCACGTGAGTGAAGAGGCAGGCAGGTTCATATTCAGAGCAGACATGAGCTGCCACCTAGTGAATCACCTGGGTACTAATACTGCACTTGATTTGTTGATAACAAACAATTGCTTCCCTTCTTTCTCTATTTAATTAAGATTTTTTTTTTGTCTTACTTGTACTTTCTGGGCAGTTTTACTCAAGTTTAGATCAACTTCAGGTCCCCTTGCCTCTATGACTACACCAGAATCGAGTCCTAGTGTTCAGGAGGCCTGTGCAAGTCTAGATGCCTAGTCGTTTTGAAGATTCTTTGGTACAAGAACCAGTGCATAGGAAAGCTACTGAGGGCACTCAGAAAAGGGAATTAGGATTGCCTTTTCTACATCAATAAACTTAAAATTACAAATCTCTAAAAATTGAAACTAAAGAAAAAATACATGTTTTGTAAAGTTGTTCAGCTTTTCTATGCCTTGTCATACACAAGAAATGTTACTTGTGCTCAACTCATTCATACTCACCACTTCCATCCAAAAATTATCAAGATCTGAAGAACGCTGCTGTTTGTTGAGGTTGATGAGCCAGCGACCTCCTCGACAGTTATGCTCATCTTCCCACATAGGTTTGACACCCTGCTTAAACATGGAGTAGTCACACCCCACTTTCAACCGAGAAGCAGGCTCAATGTGATTGTACAACCTGTAAATTTTATAAGAGCACATCAGTAGATGAATTAGGACTACTGTATACAATTGTCAGAAAATGACAAAAATAAGCATAACCAAACAAGCAGTATACAGTACTGTTAATATATATAATTAAAAAAATAGATCTACTGTATATCTCTTGATATTTTACTCCCTTTCGGATCTAATGTATAATCATTCCGGGGCATTCCAAAACCTACAGGTGCTGCAGATCCTGTCAAGAAATATTTCTATATTTAAATATTACATTATTCTCGCTATCATAAAAGTGAAACAGTTTCAGTAGCTGCCACTTGTTTCCAAATAAAGCACCTGTGAAAAAAACGAGGATAACCGTTCATCAGTATTATCATAATAATCAGCATAAACAACAGATACACACACACACACACACAGGTAAAAGTAGGAAAGAAAAATACAATAAGACACAAACTGAAAACCTGGTATGTTTCAACAGTAGCCACTCAAAGGATGAACCTTTAGTTACAATGTCAGAAATGATTGTACAGTATTATAAAAGAGCAACCTGTCCTCTGGAAAATACATCTTACTTTGACGTAAAAATCCACAATGTTAAAATATGATGAACTGTACTGTACTATAAATCATAGTGCTTTGCTAAGCTATTATGTTTTCTATTTGCAAGTCCTTGGTTAGGTTAGGCTTAGGCTGGATAGAGAATGGAAAAAGAATTTTTTAAATTTTCTACTTTTTTATGCACACTAGGAAATTGACTTGACACTTTCGCGTGGTAATGATGCAGTATGGCGTAAAAAATTTAGTAGACGAATGTACGGTAATGACGCAGTATGGCATAAAAAATTAAATAATTTGGCCTGCTTTCGGCTTGGCTGTGGGTGGGGCACGCCGCAGTTTTGGACATTATAGTGGGGCCTCGATTTACAATGGTAATCCGTTCCCAGAGACATATCGTAAGTCGAAACAATTTTTCCCATAAGAAATATAGGGAGTTGAATTAATCCGTTCCACTCCGTCAAAAATATTAACTTAAAAATACATTTTATACTGAATACAATTTTTTCTCTAACTACAATACAGTACATATGTTTATCTTACCTTTATGGAGGACTCTTGATGGCGTATGGAAGACGGTGATGAGGGGGAAGGAGGAGAGGTGTTACTGTTTGGAAGGGGAGTCCCCTTCCATTATAACATCAGGCAGTGAGGACTTCTCTGGGGTACACACACTGGTATGTTTTGCCTGCATACCACTAGGACCTGTTTCTGGCTCACTGCTTGATTTTCTCACTAGAAATCGTTCCATTGAAGATTGTTTTTCCCTTCTTTGCAACACTTGTCTGTAGTGAGGCATCACATTGTCATTAATAAGATCAATGCAACAGCCTGTTACAGCTTTATCTGGGTGATTTTTACAGCAAAACTTTGCAGTTCTTCCCATACTGCACACATTTTCTTAGTTAATGAGAAAGGACATCCTCTACTGCCATCGCCGCTGCCGCCTCCTCTGAAGATTTGTTGTACTGCCTCGCTAGTTCAACACACGAGTACCATTTTCATGTTTACGAATGATCTCTTTTTTTTTCCTCTACGGTTATTCTTACATGTGTTTTCATATGTTGAACCTTACCACTGACTTTCTTAGTACCCATGGCGTGATGTATAATAATCAGTTTTATGCCCAAAGAGCAAAAAAAATCACTACAATAACGGAATTTCTTATAAGCGTGATCGTCACTAAGCAGGCGGCTCTAGTAAACTGAGGCAGGTTGGCCCGCGTGACCGGGAACCATGCGCTCAGTCGACCCGAACGTGTATCAACGAATCTCGTTAATCGACGACACTATCGTAAGTCGAGTCACATTATCCAATCAAATTTATACTGTAACTCAAAATTATCGTAAGTTGGGACATTTGTAAGTCGAGGTGCCACTGTATATGCATATTCTCTTGTAGGTAATTTTATTGCGAACATATTGATACCAAAATGAAAGACCTAGGCCGAGAATTGAGGTGACAAAGTTGAAAAAGAGTATACACATTTTATTGACTTGACGAGCACTCACGGATAACTCTCTCACTTTGTTTGCTGCGGGTGGTACGCCACGCTTTTGTACTCTATATGCATATACAGTACAGTACTCCTGTAGGGAATTCTTTTGCGAACACACTGATACCAAATTGAAAGACCTAAGACGAGAATTGAGGTGACCAAAGTGAAAAGAGTGAACACATTTTATTGCTCTTGCGCGCTCCCAGGTAACATGTGATGTGTCTGTTTAGCCATCGCATGTATGCGATGGCTAAACACACACATCAGATCTTCAGTAATTACATATCATGTAATATAGTCGGTCCTAAATGCTGGAACAATCAACTAAAGGATACCAATACACTACTTTTTGCTTTGCAAATTAACTCAGAAAATTTAATGGAAGATAACTTACGCCCAAAAGTCCTCAACTGTATTGAAGCTAGCAATTTCCATCTGACAGTCTTCCCAAGTTCTATTGTTCTCGATCTTGAAAAACCAGAGTGTCCAAGTGTTTTGGAGAGGATGTTTAATCAACATGTCCGGTGACACATCTTGCTGCTCTTTTCCTTCTTCCTCACCCTGCTGCTCTTGCTGTTTGTCATTCTGAAAAAATTACCACTTGTTAATTACACAATACAGGAGATAATGTGTTAACTAATTATTAGTCAAAATTATATATGAACTACAATACTATACAAGACAAACGTACTCTAATTTTAATAATGGAAAAATGAGCTTTGCCAAAAATGTTGTGCAATTTGACTAAATTGCCATACAACTGCTGATTAGATAATTGTTTTATGGGAGTCTGTAAAACATCCCAACAGAACACATTTTGTGTAGGCAAGGAAGAACATTGTTCAAGTTCAAGTATGTTTATTGAGATAAGCAATAAATACATCTCAAAGGGATAGAGTAGCTTAGGCTATTTCTACCCCCCCCAAGAACATTGTTTATGTTAATGAGCAACTTTTAATATAACATACCTAACATAATGGTTAATGACACTCACTAATTAGCTTCTGTAGCCACTGCTGTTAATTCCACTGCCACTCTGGATATAGGTTAATGAGAACAGCTGTTGTAACAGAACTAAGGAGCCCTTCAGCAAAGAGAATAATAATGCAAGTTTTTTATTTTGTTTATCTATATGTATATACCAGAGTTCTTACAGTCTTGTAAAGCCACTAGCGCACATAGCATTTCGGGCAGGTCCTTAATCCTAATTTTCCCCAGAATACGACCCCGCCAAATAGTTTAACGACCAGGTACCCATTCACTGCAGGGTGAACAGAGGCTGCAGTTAAGGATTGGCGCCCAGTCAATCCTCCCTGGCCCGGGTACAAACCCAGGCCAAATCGCTCGTGAAGCATCGGGCGAATGTTTTATCACTGCGCCACTGGGACTGATACCTCATGCAGGCACTGACCTTGAAACCTACTCAAACATTTTATGACGCGATAGCTGCGTGTCGTACTACATTCTGGACGCAGAATCTAGGAAAGACTGTTCCAGCCACAGATTGAGGCAGGACCAAGTCTTTATGCTCAAGACACGTAAGCTAAGTTAGGCTAGTAGTATGGCCCAATCACCTCACCTCATTATGGTCAAACCTCAGAACAATTACCATTATTCATCACTCCATTTAATATAGGAGACCAGGAGGCCTGGTCAAGGACCAGGCTGCGGGAACGCTAAGTCCCAAAATCATCTCAAGATAACCCCAAGATCATTTATACTTAAAAAAAAAAATCCTGGGGGTTTGTGAGACTGTGTATATACAATGTGAGTGCTCTTCCTGTCCTTGCATATAGCAGCCATGGTATATATTTGTCCCACTCCTACAGTACAGCAGCCTTGGGGTATAGCATCCTTAGGGTACAGCATCCTTAGGGTACAGCATCCCTGAGGTACAGCATCCCTGAGGTACAGCATCCCTGGGGGGTACAGCATCCCTGGGGATACAGCATCCCTGGGGGTACAGCATCCCTGGGGTACAGCATCCCTGGGGTACAGCAGGCTTGGAGACAGCTGCCTTGGGTTTTAGCAGCTCTCAGGTAGCGGAACCCATGGCCTAGTGGCCTAGCCAGCCCTGTGGCTTAGCCAGCCTACTGTGCCCTAGTCAGCCTACTGTACCCTAGCCAGCCTACTGTGCCCTAGTCAGCCTACTGTGCCCTAGCCAGCCTACTGTGCCCTAGCCAGCCTACTGTGCCCTAGCCAGCCTACTGTGCCCTAGCCAGCCTACTGTGCCCTAGCCAGCCTACTGTACCCTAGCCAGCCTACTGTACCCTAGCCAGCCTACTGTGTCCTACCCAGCCTACTGTACCCTAGCCAGCCTACTGTACCCTAGCCAGCCTACTGTACCCTAGCCAGCCTACTGTACCCTAGCCAGCCTACTGTGCCCTAGCCAGCCTACTGTACCCTAGCCAGCCTACTGTGTCCTACCCAGCCTACTGTGCCCTACCCAGCCTACTGTGCCCTACCCAGCCTACTGTACCCTAGCCAGCCTACTGTACCCTACCCAGCCTACTGTGCCCTAGCCAGCCTACTGTGCCCTACCCAGCCTACTGTGCCCTACCCAGCCTACTGTGCCCTACCCAGCCTACTGTGCCCTAGCCAGCCTACTGTACCCTAGCCAGCCTACTGTGCCCTAGTCAGCCTACTGTACCCTAGCCAGCCTACTGTGCCATAGCCAGCCTACTGTGCCCTAGCCAGCCTACTGTGCCATAGCCAGCCTACTGTACCCTAGCCAGCCTACTGTACCCTAGCCAGCCTACTGTACCCTAGCCAGCCTACTGTGCCCTAGCCAGCCTACTGTGCCCTAGCCAGCCTACTGTGCCCTAGCCAGCCTACTGTGCCCTAGCCAGCCTACTGTACCCTAGCCAGCCTACTGTGTCCTACCCAGCCTACTGTACCCTAGCCAGCCTACTGTGTCCTACCCAGCCTACTGTGCCCCAGCCAGCCTACTGTGTCCTACCCAGCCTACTGTGTCTTACCCAGCCTACTGTGCCCTAGCCAGCCTACTGTGCCCTAGTCAGCCTACTGTACCCTAGCCAGCCTACTGTGCCCTAGCCAGCCTACTGTACCCTAACCAAGCAGCAGCAGTTACAGTAGGTCTCCCCTCCCCCCTCCACCGTGACACCCACAAGCCAGCTGGACCAGGAGGTGGAGGCTGGGGCCCAGGAGCTAGAGCCCCAGCAGGCCAGCCACACCGGGGGGTGGTAGAGAAGGTCAACTTCTCCCGTCTGGGAGACCCGGGCCGGGCGTGTGTGTGTCACGGGGGCTCCCGCCTCTCCCCCGCCGCCTTCCTCCTTCCAATGAATTAAAATGTGTCGAGAAATGTTCGTGTGAGGCCCCGGCGGTGGTGGAGGGCGCGGGAGGCGGCGGCGGCGGGGCCACGGGGCCAACATCTGCACACACATACCTCCATCACGTCGGGGCCATCGGCAGCCATGTTGGAATTGTCTCTTGGACGGTCTCCAGTGTTGGGGGAGCAGCGGGTGAGCGGCGGCATGCGCACCCGGCCTGGCCTGCCTCCCCCTGGCCTGCCTCACTCACTCCTGGCCTGCCTCACTCACTCACTCACTCACTCCTGGCCTGCCTCACTCACTCACTCACTCACTCCTGGCCTGCCTCACTCACTCACTCACTCACTCCTGGCCTGCCTCACTCACTCACTCCTGGCCTGCCTCACTCACTCCTGGCCTGCCTCACTCACTCCTGGCCTGCCTCACTCACTCACTCCTGGGCTCCCTCACTCACTCACTCCTGGCCTGCCTCACTCACTCCTGGCCTACCTCACTCACTCACTCCTGGCCTGCCTCACTCACTCACACCTATCTCTCTTCCTCGCCTGACTCACTCACACCTTTCTTCCTCACACTTTAATTAGAGATTAATTAGGTTTAATTAGAGATGTAAGCTAGCAAAGCAACAAGGTACAAGGGCATGGAGAAACTATAGAAATAACAAGACACTAGAGAGAAGAGAAAGATTCCAGAGTGCCAGGAATGAGTACATCTGGGTGAGATGAGAGGCAGAAGGGCAATACGAAAGTGACATAGCAAGCAAGACAAAGACTCACCCTAAATTGCTGCACAGCCACATCAGGAGAAAAACAACTGTGAAGGAACAGGTAATGAAACTGAAGATAGGGGCAGACAGATTCACTACAAACGACAAGGAAGTGTGCGAGGAACTCAATAAGAAATTCCAGGAAGTCTTCACATTAGAGTAAGGAGAGTTTCCAGAGATAAGAGAAGAAATAGTTAACTAGGCACCACTAGAGGAGTTGGGATTACCAGTGAGGATGTAAGGAAACTTTTGCTAGAGTTGGATGTGACAAAGGCTATAGGGGCGGATGGAATCTCACCGTGGATACTAAAGAAAGGAACAAAAGCACTGTGCCTGCCACTCTCCATAGTGTATAACAAATCACTGGTAACGGGTGAACTGCCAACAATTTGGAAGGCGGTTCCAAATTGAATGTAGTTACAATTTTGAATGTAGTCCCGATATACAAGTAGGGGAATAGGCAGGAGGCACTGAACTACGGGCCAGTGTCCTTTACTTGCATTCCATACAAGTTGATGGAGAAGATTGTGAGAAAAAAGCTAGTGGAACATCTGGAGCGAAATAACTTAGTAACACAACATCAACATGGGTTCAGGGATGGCAAGTTATGCCTCACAAGATTAACTGAATTCTAGGATCAGGCAAGAGAGGGGTGGGCAGACTGCATATTTTTGGATTGCCAGAAAGCCTTTGACACAATACCACACATGAGACTAATTGACAACCTGGAGATGCAGGCTGGAGTGAAAGGGAAGGTACTCCATTGGATAAGGGAGTAAATAAGCAAGAGAAGACAGCGAGTCACTGTGAGCGGCGAAGTTTCAGACTGCCGCGGTGTCACCAGTGGAGTCCCACAGGATTTAGTCCTTGGACCAGTTTCTGATATATGTAAATGATCTCCCAGTGGGTATAGACTCGTTCTTCTCATTGCTTGCTGATGATGCAAAAATTATGGTGAGGGTTAAGACAGAGGAAGATGGTATGAGGCTACAAGATGACCTAGACAAACTGAATGAATGGTCCAACAAATGGCTACTGAAGTTCAACCCGAGTAAATGTAAGGTAATTAAAGTAGGCGGTGGAAACAGGAGGCCAGACACAGGATACTGAATGGGATTTGAAGTCCTTCATGAAACGGACAGAGAGAAAGATCTAGGAGTTGATATCATGCCAAACCTGTCTCCTGAAGCCCACATAAAAAGAATAACATCGGCGGCGTATGCAAGGCTGGCTAACATCAGAACTGCCTTCAGGAACCTGTGTAAGGAATCATTCAGAACCTTGTACACCACATATGTAAGACCAATCCTGGAATATGCGGCCCCAGCATGGAGCCCGTACCTTGACAAGCACAAGACGAAGCTTGAAAAAGTTCAGAGGTATGCCACTAGCTGGCTAGTCCCAGAACTAAGAGGCATGAACAAAGCCACAAGGGCCGTGACGAGGGTTCGAACCTACGTCCGAGAGGATCCCAGACGCTGCCTTAATCGACTGAGGTACGACTTGGTAAAAAAATTGCAGTGCAACACGCTATTGTCATTTCTGTGTGTAAGAGGCATGAGTTACGATGAAAGGCTGCGTGAAATGCACCTCACGTCGCTGGAAGACAAGAGAGCTCGGGGAGACATGATCACTCCCAGCACCGCTCCTGTGCCAGGTAAGTCCACTACGGGCTCACCATAGTCCGTGCTACTTGCCCCGCTCCTGTGCCAGGTAAGTTACGGGCTCACCATAGCCCCGTGCTACTTGGAACTTGTTCCGAGTAGCTTAATCTATAACAACAACAACAACAACATGATCACTACCTTCAAAATTCTATGCGGAATCGACAGGGTAGATAGAGATAATTTGTTTAACACGGGACGGGGGAGAGAAGTACGCGAACAAGGGGACACAGGTGGAAACTGAGTACCCAAATGAGCCACAGGGACGTCAGAAAAAATTTTGTTCAGTGTCAGAGAAGTTAACAGATGGAATGCATTAGGCAGTGATGTGGTGGAGGCTGACTCTATACACAGTTTCAAATGTAGATATGACAGAGCCCAATAGGCTCAGGAATCTGTACACCAGTTGATTGACAGTTGAGAGGCGGGACCAAAGAGCCAGAGCTCAACCCCTCGCAAGCACAACTAGGTGAGAATCTCTCTCTTCCTTGCCAGCCTCACTACCCGTGTGAGTAGTAGTTTATTGTTCACCCCATACTCATCATGAATGTTAGTTTGTGTACCCCATACTCATCATGAGTGATAGTTTGTGTACCCCATACTCATCATGAGTGATAGTTTGTGTACCCCATACTCATCATGAGTGGTAGTTTATTGTGTACCCCATACTCATCAGAGTGGTAGTTTGTGTACTCCATACTCATCATGAGTGATAGTTTGTGTACCCCATACTCATCATGAGTGGTAGTTTATTGTGTACCCCATACTCATCATGAGTGATAGTTTGTGTACCCCATACTCATCATGAGTGGTAGTTTGTGTACCCCCCATACTCATCATGAGTGGTAGTTTATTGTGTACTCCATACTCATCATGAGTGGTAATTTATTGTGTACCCCATATTCATCATGAGTTGTAGTTTATTGTGTACCCCATACTCATCATGAGTGATAGTTTGTGTACCCCCCATACTCATCATGAGTGGTAGTTTGTGTACCCCCCATACTCATCATGAGTGGTAGTTTATTGTGTACTCCATACTCATCATGAGTGGTAATTTATTGTGTACCCCATATTCATCATGAGTTGTAGTTTATTGTGTACCCCATACTCATCATGAGTGATAGTTTGTGTACCCCCATACTCATCATGAGTGATAGTTTGTGTACCCCCATACTCATCATGAGTGGTAGTTTGTGTACCCCCCATACTCATCATGAGTGGTAGTTTATTGTGTACTCCATACTCATCATGAGTGGTAGTTTATTGTGTACCCCATACTCATCATGAGTGATAGTTTGTGTACCCCCCATACTCATCATGAATGATAGTTTGTGTACCCCCCATACTCATCATGAGTGGTCGTTTACTGTGAACCCCATACTCACCTTGTAAAGAAATTTGACAAAACTTCAAGGTATTCACAGATGCTTAATTCAATGGGGGGGTTCAAAATTAAAGGTAGCGAGGGCGTGAATAAAAAACATATTGGTAGCAGGAAGAAATAGAAAGTAATCTGAGAGAACTGGATGCATCTTAAACAGTTCGTTCAGATCAGTACTCACCATAGAGTCTGAAGGAGACACGAGGAATATTTGGAAAACTAACTTAATATGCAATATCTTAGGTGGTATTTGTAATAATATAGTCAACTCAAACATGTTATTAATTATTCAGTAATAATTGCTAAAATTAGAAATGAGCAAAGTATCTCCCAGCAAATTCTTGCAAGGTACTGGAGAAAATAGTCGGGCACACACTCACTGAACATCTGGTGAGAACCGAAAACCGTATTATTTTAGAGTAAATAACTTAATGAATCTGACAAAATGATCCAGGGAAGGAATGGTCAAACTAAACACCTCTGAACAAGAGGCCATCATAGAAACTAGACCCACATAAACCACACGGATGCAACAAATATTTACTGTGCGAGTAGTGAAAAGGTAGAATAATTTGGAAAAGGAGATAGCAAAGGCAAATGCCATGCACTGGAGCAAAAGCAACAGCCAAAAATACTACACAATGCAATAAGCAACCCTGAATCATGTGTGTGCCCAGGAAAACTCTTCCAAATCATGTTTAACCAGGTCCTCTGACCTTCAAAACAAGCCCATGGACCCAGTAAATACCAACAGCAGTTGCTGGCAGAATTAAATGTCACCTTTATGTGGTTAAGGAAAAATTCTGATACAATTATATTTCATTCAAACTCTTATTTCAATTATATTTATTTACACGATTAATAAGGTATGCTATGTAATTTTGAATGTTTTACAATGTGTATTAAATATATATATTCAGTATTATATACAGTACTATGTATATATATATTATATACAGTGCGAACAAGCCTGAATGGTCCCCAGGACAATATGCAACTGAAAACTCACACCCCAGAAGTGACTCGAACCCATACTCCCAGGAGCAACGCAACTGGTATGTACAAGACGCCTTAATCCACTTGACCATCACGACCGGACAAAATGAGGTGATAGCCAAGGTATCAAGTATAAAGATATTATATACAGTGTATATATATATATATATATATATATATATATATATATATATATATATATATATATATATATATATATATATATATATATATTAATTTATTTATTTATTTATTTATATTTTAAGCACATTGGAGCTTGTTTACAAGCTTGGTATGATTTTTTCTATATTATACAGTATATGTTTTCATCTTGCTCAAGATCTCTTCACCCTCATCTATCCTATAATTAATAATGGCAGAAAAAATATCATCATGAAAACAGCACAAATCAATGAAGAAGAAAATTTGAAATAATTTTTCCTTGCATTTACAGACAAATATACAACTTTCTTGAAAAATATGCTTATTTATTTCATTTATAATATACTGTGCTATACATTTAGAACAAATCTGGCATATTGAGCCATTTTTTATATTGCAGCATAAAATATAATGATTAATTTTTTTATATTTTTCAAATTAAAAAATATTTGTAACACTAGCATCCCACAACACTAAAATGCCTCCTCTGTTCTTCTACAGTAAATTTTCTGATACTATAATGTGTTACCCAATCTCAAAATTTGGACTTTAAGAAAACCACACTTAATGCCCAGAAAACCACAGAGTCTCCACCCAGCTCGAGAACATTCCTTTGCGATCATTTTGATATCAAATTCTAAGTTATACAGTAAACCTCCCCCCCCCCCCAAAAAAAATCTAGGTGTCGCTGGGCGAGGCCCGGGACATTTATGGTAGACTGCTCAAGTGTTAATGACTTCATATCTACGGAAAGAGATATGAAGTCATTAACAATTTTTGTCGTTTAAAGAAATTAAATAACACGTCTTGTTAACAAACATACAATACTTTGGTTTTCGATTATTTGAACCATGTTATTAGAAAATGGGAAACAAATTATTTTTTGTTTTGTTTTCACCACCAAAATTTTGTTTAACTGTACAGTTGGTCAGATCAGGGAGACCTGATCTGTCAGATCAGATCTCTTACTAGACATGTAATAGAAAATACAATTTCAAATTTTTTTTTTGTATATACCTTTTGTGGGGATGAGCCTATTTATAGAAGCCACAACCTATAGCTGGAAAAAAAAAAAAAATACGGGAGGTGAACTCCATATATTATTGGATTAAAAATTAGTGCATCAGGTGAGTGATGGGTGAAGGCTGGCCCCAAGCAGCAGCACCACCATTTTGAGGTTATCTTGAGATGATTTCGGGGCTTTAGTGTCCCCGTGGCCTGGTCCTTGACCAGGCCTCCACCCCCAGGAAGCAGCCCGTGACAGCTAACACCCAGGTACCTATTTTATTGCTAGGTAACAGGGGCATAGGGTGAAAGAAACTCTGCCCATTGTTTCTCGCCGGCGCCCGGGATTGAACCCGGGACCACAGGATCACAAGTCCAGAGTGCTGTCCGCTCGGCTCCCGTAGACAGCAAGGAAACCACACCCAAAATGTCCCTATGTCACAACCAATAAGAACGTAACTTTGAGGCAGAATACCTAATAACAGCAATGAGAAGCCATATTACCAGCATAAAATTGGTTGGGGTAAAATGAGGACTTGACGCCACTCTCGTTCTCCTTCTAAGGGCAACGATCTCCTCGTGTCCCTACCTCATGAAGCTGTCTCCACTAATAATTTTTAAAGAAAATTACTGTACACATCATACATTTTAAAGCCAAACTAGTTAACAGTGATATTTTACAGTATTTTAAATTAAAATTTCAATTTGCAGTGTTAATATTTTTATTATTATTTTGTACAAAAATTCACTGGCTCGGAACAAACTTTAATTTTACCAAGAGGTTCTTAACATTTAATAAGATTCTATACTACACGAGGTTGTTTCCAGGCCTGCACCCTCAATATAAAATAGGAATCCGCTGTATATGCCAAATTTTACAACAATTTTATGAACTAGTATTAACCATGGAGAATGACAGAAAGAATGTCCCTCTATTACACTGCTCTTCCCGTCAAATTTATCATTCAAATTAGCTTAGTCATTCAGGTAATAAAGCCATCACAGATGTACACACTCTACTAGTATTTCTAAAATATTCAGTTCTTGCTGAATAATGTTTTAAAACTCCTATGTCCATTAAAATCCCAAATAAATTTCTGGCTCCAAATCACTACTACCCTTTGCCGGCGATGACTCACAATAACGTGGCTAAAGTATGTTGACCAGACCACATACTAGAAGGTGAAGGGACGACGACGTTTCGGTCCGTCCTGGACCATTCTCAAGTCGAATGGTCTTGAGAATGGTCCAGGACGGACCGAAACGTCGTCGTCCCTTCACCTTCTAGTGTGTGGTCTGGTCAACACTACTACCCTTTCATGTAAAGTTTAAAATTTGAGCTCTACACTTCATTACAGGACGTGGCTATAAAAGAAACAAAATGGGAAATATTCCTTCAACTTTTGTTATTACTGTAAATACAGTACTGTATATACAAAATGTTTGCAAAATTTAGCATATTCAATGATTATTGAATTTACATTACATAAAAAGGAATGATAAAATAAAATTTTTATCCAACAGAACTAAACATGAATGTGGCCTGTATAATAGATGTCTGTTTTACATACTTCATGCAGCGAGTGAGTGAGTAGACATTAACAAATAAAACTAAGAAAAGAGTTGATACAATTCTTAAAATGTGCACAAGATGAGATTAAATACTGTGCTTCTAAAGCTACATGTAAAAAAAAAAAAAAAATAAAAATAAATAAAGCTGCATACAAATTAAAGAATAAAAAAAAATTAACCTTACAGCTTATAAAGGATAATTATAAAATACATGTTGCCAGTAGGCAGAGGCATACACACTGCTTTACTTCTTTCATTAACATTACTGTAACATGTACATCACAAAAAAAAAAAAATCTTAAATGTTCATTGAATGCATGGGACATTTGAATTTCACTTTCAGATATATATATATATATATTAATCATACTTTTTAGAGAAATGTGAAACCCAAAAATTGGTGGTCTAAGACCTGAAGACATCTGAATAGATCACAGGACAATCTTTCACTCGTAACACGGCAGCAACACCTTGACATTGCAATCATTCTAACACAGACAGTAAAGATAAGTAATGTAGCATTCCTATTAAAAACACATATTTCAAGATGTATCAAAATATTTATATAGATAACTAAATTTCAATGGAAATGTTTAATATACTGTACACTTAATTTAATTCAAAGTTCTTTATACTGTCATCCAGCCACCCCTACCCTCAAATACGGTTGAATTTTAAAATATACATAATGTGATTTACAATCACTATACCATAAAGCAATAAGACCCTTAAAACAAAAAAATTCTTATAAAAATAGTTATAAAATATTTTACATTTTTTCTAAGCTCTACTCTCGGCTAAAGTTGGAGGTACCACAAGTGTCTGGTTCACACCCCCAGAGGCAGTGTTGGCTTTTTCACTGTTGTTGCTGCTAACACCTATTTTAGATGGATTGATAGTTACAGACTTGGTGGCATTGTATGTCTTGTAGATGCCAACTAGTCTGTCTGCTAACTCAAACATTTGTGATCGTAATGAGATGATGATAAACTGGGCATTCTTTGTGCGTTCCTGTTGGAAGAAACAAAAACAATTATAAATTCCCATTGTAAATTAAGTGAAACAAAACTGACTTACAAGAATTCTACCTTAATCTTAGTCTCACAATATGAATTAGACATGTACCAACATATGTTTATTTTTTAAATAATATGCTTAATTGGTATTGGCAGAATGTCCATCAATACTTTAACATTGTATGCACTTAAATCCCTAATTTGAGAAATGCTTATGTTTCAAATCATACATTGCCCTTACAAAACCAGCATCAAATGTTTGTAGAAGAAAGTTAATATTTATTCACACAAAAGTACTATTATTGTGGCAGCCATGGAGCTGTAATATTGCAACCTTTGGTTCAGATGAGCAGACTTGAACTGTTAAGACCAAAACACTGCATTCTTCCCTCCCTAGGTCTCTTCCTGTCAACAATGCAATTAGTAGCTGTCAGCTTCTCTAACACAAAACACATTCCACTCCTCCCCCCAATTCTCTCATGCTCCCACATTCAACTCTTTCATACTCAACTCTCACCTCCACCGACTTCTGTTTCACACACACTCGTACACTGGCAATTGCCCTTTGATAATGCAAGGTTCAATTAATGTCCAAATTTTCTAGGATATTGCTTCAGAAAGTGTTTTATTGTTATATTACATTGTGCACATTATATGCTTTAAAGTATTTCTACTGCAATATAGACTAACCTATGAAGGAAACTGCTGGGGATAAGATACTGTAGATGACTTTGACCAGCATCTGCCAGGCTTACACGATGCAATATTGAGAAGTACTTTTACCTGTGTATTACTGTATATGTGAACAATTTTGTTAGTTCTTCTATCTCTGCTTTCCCTTGTGATTGCCTGATTTATGAGGCTGTTTGTTTTTGCAGTCCACAGAACTACATAGCCATCACAGAGTAGGGAAGGAAATGGAAGGTGGTAAAAGGTAGGGAAAGTGGTGAAGAAACCAGAAGGTGTTGAAGGAGACGGAAGATAGTGATAATGGTTGTAGCTGGGGCACTGAGCGTTGTTCAGCTAGTGAATATGGTTAGTGTTGAAAACAGTATTAAGTGAAGATGACTGTAGTAGGTTACAATGATGTTTGCTTCTGTGTAGGAGACAATTAAAGTGATGATTGTGTGTAGTGAAGATGGATACAGTGATGAAGATAGTGTAATGTGGAGACATGCGTTCTGTCACCCGAGCGATGTTGGGTATCACCACCAGTGAATAAATTAATGCATTACACAAACTACAAAAAAATCCATACCTTAATGTAATTGCCAACGATGGAAACATTCTTAAAGTCAAGTGCAGCATCAATTTCATCCATGACGTAAAGAGACGTTGGTTTGTAGTAATGGAGAGCAAATACCAGTGCCAACGATGAAAGGGTTTTCTCACCGCCAGATAAATTAGTAATAGTTTTCCAAGATTTTTTGGGTGGACGAACACTGAAAAATATATTTTAATGCAATAAACTGTGTTAATTAACAAGCACAACCAGACAAATAAGTATATGGAATCTTCATCTAATAATTTCACACAATGAAAATGGAATTTATCCTTTTTTAAAGGACAAATAATTTTATAGTCATTATCAATTGTCACAATATAAAAATATATCCATACTTGAAAACTTTTAATTGTATTCTATAGAAGGCATTCCTCTCTCCAACGATTATATACCTAATGAGTTTCATCGTATTTAGCAAATAATCTAACTTTCCTAATCTTTACAGGGTAGCATATAGGTTCATGATACTTTAGAAAAAGCATCTAGCATAATAATGTAAAAACCTTCCTTAATACCTGAAAGCTTTATCTATATTCACATAGGAGAGTACTATCAATTGTTTGGTGAACAAGACATGCATGCCTATTTTCTAATTTTGATCACATCATGGAAAATGGCAGCACACTAACAGTCAATGTCTTCACAGGCCTATCACTTGACCTCTTACACATCCATTACTACAATTTACACCGTAATTATCTAAATGAACACACCAAGTTTTTTTTTAAAGAGCTATTAATTTAAACAGAAATTAATGTCCAACAATAAACAGCAAATCCACGGTTCAACAGTGTAAGGAGGAACAGAATAAGATCAAAAAGGCACGGATAATGTATAGGAACATGGCTACTGAGGCAAATAGGGAGCCAGAAATGAGTACACAAGAATCAGAACACCTGACAGCTGTCTTCAGTGACCAGCACAAGGACAGTCACAAGCACCTGACAGCTGTCTTCAGAGACCAGCACAAGGACAGTCACAAGCACCTGACAGCTGTCTTCAGTGACCAGCACAAGGACAGCCACAAGCACCTGACAGCTGTCTTCAGAGACCAGCACAAGGACAGTCACAAGCACCTGACAGCTGTCTTCAGAGACCAGCACAAGGACAGTCACAAGCACCTGACAGCTGTCTTCAGAGACCAGCACAAGGACAGTCACAAGCACCTGACAGCTGTCTTCAGAGACCAGCACAAGGACAGTCACAAGCACCTGACAGCTGTCCTCAGTGAGCACCAGGAATACTACCAGGGTTGTCAAAGGAAACACAAATATGTCAATGATGTAGTAACTATAACTACTCCTCCACACTTAATCTTGGCAAATGGGCTTTAGTTATTTTTAGGATATTATAGCTTGGAAGAGTCTACCTGCTGATTCCTGATGCTACTGACATTCCTGGTACTATACACAAGACTCGAAAGTCATATTAATACTAAAAAAAGCAGGGAAACCCAGAGAAAATGTGTTGAGTTAACTATGTTAAGAACAACAAAAGTTTTTTTTGTTTCAGTGACCACAGCTGGCCCCTTAAGATATATTATACCAGTACAGTATAACAAAACCACAATATTACACCAGTATAATATTATGGTTTAAATATTATATTGGTAAAACCCCAATACCTTCTGAAACTAAGCACAAAAACTAAGCAAAATCAAACTAAGACAAATCCCTCTCTTGTAACTTAATTCATCTCACTTTGTGTGTACGTTACAATATATAAATTCTTAGTTATAAATCAAGATAAATCTCACTTCTGCAATTTCCTAAAATACTAACTGTTGTTCTATGACCCTACAACCCAATTATTTGTGAATAGAATTTCCTAAAAATACTGGACGATTTCAGTGAGACTTTTGTAACTACTATAATTTAACCAAGGTAGAGTAAATATTTCCATGCTTACCTGAAAACAATGCCTTCACTGAATGGATCAAGGGAGTCAACCAACTCAAGCTCAGCATCTCCACCTAAAGTTATCATCTGATACATCTCCTTGAGTTTGTTGGATATAATGGTGAAACCTGCCATGAACTCGTTTAGACGCTGCTTTCTAAGATCCTCGTGGTATTTCCTTTGCTCATCTCTCTGACGAGTAATCTCGTCAAGTTCAGCTACGCGTTGCAAGTAGATCTCTTCCTGAAGGTGATACAAAGGTGAGTGATCATTTGATTGTTTCCTTACCTTAGACAACACAGTATCAGCTCCTTCCAGGAAGGTCAGAAATAGAACAAAATTAACACGGTACAGTATTTATATATATTTATATATATAAATTTATATATACAGTATTTATTTATATATTTATATATATTAGTCTATAATTTGAATAAATGCATTTCAATTCTTGATGGAACATTTTTTCAATTTACATATATAACATATGCTATAAATTCTTCATATGACAAATATAATTTTCTTGTATTATGTTTTCCATATTTAAAGCTATACTTTACAAAGCAAATATTTGTTAAAATTAATTTTGTATGCATATTTTATAAATTCCATATTGGGGAACAGCTTTCCTAAGTTATTTACATAACATAAGAGTGAAGGATATTGACACAGTACTATAGAGAAAGCGCTGCTTAGTATGACCAAAAGTGAGAGAGAGGACAAGAAAGGAAACTAGACTTTCAGGGAAACTAACACTAAATAAGTTAGTCAGTAATGAACAAATGGAACCAGCAAGAAACAGTAGTTGAGGCTAATCTCAAACATAAATTTAAAAGTAGGCTTAAAGAAATCAGGTGAGTTGAGAACCATTGTATTACATGGCCACCAAATGAACAGGCTGAGCCCATTAGCCATGCATGGTCTAGGAGGCAAAACTACACATGTACACACAAGAGAGCATGTATGGACAGCGTGCAAACATGTACCTTTTAATATTACATACAGAACTTGAATACTTTTGGGGTTTCCAGTTTCCAGTGAATGAAAGTTGTATAAAAAGTACATGTACATATACTGGTATTTTTCGAGTACAGTATTACTGAGTGAAGATACAGTATTTTGTTTCATAATACAGTACCTTTTTACGATATTCGTGAACAACAGCCAAGTTTGGTTTTGATTGTGACAGCTTCTCCTCTAACATGGTCAGTTGATACTGAAGCTGCTTTGGGTCCAGTTTATCAAGAACTTCTGGTGGTTGGATAGCTAGCTCGGTTTCGTCCTCACCATCTTTATCAATTGGAATCTCTGTCAGCTCAAGTCGATTCAGCTGTTAATAGAAAATAATGTTAATGACTAGAAATGGTGACTTACATTTTAGGCTGCCAAAAACAAAAACAAAAAAATGCAAGGATGAAGAATATGCAGAGAGCATTTACTGCCTGGATCTATTCATTTAAATTTACAAATTGTTAAAAATGCTTAAAATCCTTTAAATTGAATTCCATGAATGGAGAAGCAAAATACATTAAAATGTACACTTGGAAAAATATTTAAAAGGGACTAGCTCCAAATCAAAAGCCTGTAATAATTGCGTATGAAACCAAGATATTTAGTTGAACGTGCAAAACAGCCACATTGGAAAGTCGATATGCAATATGCATACTAAGAGATAAATAAATATGAAGGGCTCAGTGCCTAATGTCAGAATACGAGTCCATGTGGGAAATGACTATAAAACCTCCAAAGGGTGTATGTCCTTCCTTTTAAAATTGCAATCAGTTGTGATGGACTGAAACAAGTGGGAGACAATCTTAACTATTTATTGCACTACAGTCAAGACACTTTTGCCGGTTGTTAAGGTACTGTGGGCAATGTTATTTCTTTGGGAACCTAGAGCTTTTTGTGGCCATTCTCTCCAGGTTTTCCAACTTTCCCCCATTCCCCTCCCTTATTAAGAGCAGATATATCACCATCTCCATGGGGAAGCAGGTGGCATTGCTTCTCATACAACCTCTCCTGGCCTTCTCTTGTCACTAGTACCAGATGTCCTCCCGGGCACTCCAACAGTATATTTATAACCTACATGGACTCAGGTCACATAAAATCCTACCAATAGTATTTACTATAAAAAATTAAAATTACAGTAATATATACTGTACCATGTTAAAAAAATGACAAACATAGCAGACAGAAGCATACAAACCTGTTTACTCCAATGGGACATCTTAGCCTTGTTCTCTTTGATGATACCCTCATATTTCTCCAGCTCCTGATCAATCTCAATTTTACTGGATTTTATTTTGTTCTCTTTCTTGACGAACACCTCATGTTCAGCCTTCAATTCACCAACTTTTTCTTCAAACTCCACTGATTTATGCTGTCAAGAAGAAATATGTTGGCCTTAGTATATTATATACATACATACATATGTATGCACGCGAGTGTAATTACATAAGTGTAGTTATAGGATGAGAGCTACGCTCTTGGTGTCCCATCTTCCCGGTACTGTCATACTTTGAAACTATTGACGGTATTGGCCTCCACTACTTTCTCACTTAACTTGTTCCAACTGTCTATCTCTCTGCAAAAAAAACTTTTGAATATTTATTCAGCACCTTAGCTTTCTAAGTTTGAATCTGTGACCTCTTGTTCTTGAAGTTGCAGGTTTCAAGAATTCCTCTGTCAACTTAGTCGATTCCCAATATTATTTTGTAAGTGATGATCATATCCTCTCTTTTTCTTCTTTCATCTAGCTTTGGCATATTTAACGCCTCTAAGGTGGCCCGACTCCCGTTACTGGTCGGGGGGCTCAAGCTCCCTGACCAGTAAGGGTGTGTGTGGGGCAGGCCTGGGCACAGGGTCGAACCAGGAAGTGCTGGGTACCCCATCTAATAATGCTGTACATATATGGCACAAACCTCTCTCAATCTTTACATTAGAACATTACTTTCTCAACATTTAGATATAAGAAATCATAGCTATAATGCAATAACTAACTTTACAAATGTAAATTAGTGAATAAACATTTAATGTGTCATTACGAAAGAAACTTAGCAGGGTGGGAGAAATTGGACAACTACAATACCTGCATGGCAGGTCAGACCCTTACCGTTATCTCAAAGCCTTCCCTTTCTTTGTTCTCATATGCTTGTGTAAGTACTATATGTACAGAAATGTGTGTATAAACAAAAATATAATGCATTTGCTGAGAAGAAAATTACATACCGTTACAGTCTGCAACTGCTCCAGCACTTGTGTAGCTTCTCCTTCAATCTCAGTACGCTTAGCCTGCATGCTAACTAATTCATTTTGTACCTCGGTGATTTCTGTTTCCATTCCAGCTATCTTTTCCTCAGTTTTTTTGGTATTACGTTGAGCAGTCTTGATAGCCACCTGGAAAATAGAATGTATACAGTATATAGTGTAATAGGAGACTAAAGCAGTCATCCTAATAACTCCGCAAGATGGAAAGTTAATATAAATATGAAAAGAGTAAGAATAAGTGTTAATAACGGGCTTAAAAATAAACAACTCGACTCTCACACGTGAAATAAAAGGCGAGTGGTGACATTTCTACCTCTCTTGGATTCCTATCATTTATTTATAACAAAAATGAAAGCGCACAAACACACTAGAGTGAATAATTCTAAGATACTAACGGAGACTAGGGTAGTAAGTCAATTCACATTATGTGTATGAATCACAATATTAAACATACTTCATATCATCACTGATAAATTATTTACAAATTTACTTTATAAAAACTGCTATCTCAGCAGTTGTTTTAACCTTGCCAATAAGTATTAAATGTTTATATTATGCCTATTATTCTTTTATCTAAGAAAAATATATTTTTTTTAAATGCCAAGCTTTTCAAAACTAAATTAGCATTCCAGTCACTGTGCAGGATTTTGTTTAAATAATCAAAGGACACTGATACACACAACATATTATACATGTTCCAGCTAGTTGACACATGAAAGTTTACAACACTGTATTCACAATGTGAGACTTGTTTAGAAAGGATATTAAACTAATTTCAAAACCGACTAATATTTAACCAAGTAAAATATTGATCACCCATCATAAATTCAGCTTGCATCAAATTCATCAGCATCAATTTAGCACAATACTTGCACCACTCTGAAAGAGAAAACTAAACATCTTGGAGAGAAAAAGTAATTTTATTGTGTATTCAAACAACTTGTCTCCCATTTTAGTTTCACTGTCTTCTGATTTTACAATGGTTACTCACTTGTAAAACTTCCTCTATCACACCATGTTTGTAGTGCTGACCGTGTGCAGGAGTGCATCACCGACACACACACAACACCATCACTCCAGATGTCATTCACACAACACCATCACTCCAGATGTCATTCACACAACACCATCACTCCAGATGTCATTCACACAACACCATCACTCCAGATGTCATTCACACAACACCATCACTCCAGATGTCATTCACACAACACCATCACTCCAGATGTCATTCACACAACACCATCACTCCAGATGTCATTCAGTCATACTTATAATGGTGAACACAGCAAACACATTGTAAATAAAATACTGTACAACAATAAATTCACACATTTCATTATTTTGTTATATGACTGAAAATTTTGGAACTCCTTGTATATACCTCAAACACCAAAATATTTAATTTAAGACTCAAGGCAGTTTTCTCTACTAGCATTTGTAGTCAGCAATACCTGTATTATCACGGCTGCACAACATATTTCCTGTTGTATCTCTACTAACATCTCTTATCTTGAGCATTACATGGTATATCTCTGAACTGATCACTCACTTCCACATAATAGGGTAACACTTTTACACAACTAATTTTTTTTAATTCCTCAAGTATTTTCTTGTATACATGTCACTCCATTTATCAAATCCACTTAACCAGTTTACCTTCATTCAAACCTCACAGTTATAAAAAGTTCAATTGAACTGTACAATATATATTATATATACAAGGAAATGGACTAACCTGAAGCCTGGTAATTTCTACATTAACCTTCTCAAGTTTTTTGTTGACATTGTCCAAGGATTTCTTGAGACCCTTCATTTTCCCTCCAGTTACCTCCATTATTTGATCGTGAATTTTAGTCACTTCTGCTTCAACTTCTTGAGCTGAAGTTGACGCTTCTTTATAGATCTTCATCTTCTCCTCAATATTCTTTTCCATTTTTTTTATCTTTGCTAGATCTGGTTTAATAGATTTAACTTTTTCTTCCTGTTGTTTTTTCTGGTTCTGGAGAGATACAAGTTGCTGCTCAGCTGCATCAACTTCCATTTTGTACTTCTGAATATCTAATTGCATTGACTTCAAATCCCTTGTTAGCTTCTGGACAGATTCTTCAAGTTGTGTCCGATCTCTGCGAAGTTGTACAGACTGCTGTGTTAACTCATCTACTCTCTTCTCTACACACTCAACTTCTCTGGGATCAATATTTACAACGGTAGCTTGCTTACCCATGCGCCCATGATTAACAGACCTTCCACCTCCACTCATCGTACCAGAAGGTTCGATCAACTCTCCTTTCAGAGTTACTACACGATGCCGCACCCTTCCATAGGCAATCCGTGACGCTTGATCTAAATCATTAGCTACCAGGGTGTCCCTCAGAGCAAAATAAAATGCCGTTTTCACCCTATCATCATTCATTCTTACTAAATCAAAGAGGCGGGGTACATTTTCTGGTGTTTGCATTGATCTCTCACATTGGTTTCTCCATCTTTCCATCTTATCCAGAGCTATAAAGGTAGCTGTACCAACATTATTTTTCTTAAGAATGTTAATACATTTCTGCCCAGTCTCCACTGAATCAACAACAATATTATCCAGTGGCCCACATGCAGTACTAATTGCAACGTCATATTTTTCATCAATGCCACCAAGGTCACCCAAGCGACCAAACACACCAGAAATATTTCCACTACTTTTTTGTGCCATAATAGCATCCAAAACCCTTCCCCGAGATCGTGACGATTGCATTGCACTGCGAGTTTCTTCCAGCTTTACTCGATGAGATCGCAGTTGCTCCTCAATCTTTTGCTGTTCAGGAATCAGTTGTTGGAGTTTCTGCATGTCACATTTTAGCTGTTCATCACACTTTGGAATACTATCTTTCAAACTCTGTATTTCATCTTTTCTACCACTGACAGTATTTTGTGCCTTCTCTAACCCAGCAAGAATTTGTTCAAGTTTCTTTTTTTCACTTCGTTCTGTGCTCTGGTAAATATCTAATTCTGACTGAGCGATATCAACTGCACTCTTAGCTTCATCAACTTCCTTTCTAAGGTCAATAAGTTTTGTTTCAAATTTAGTTTTTTCATCCTGCAACTGCTGGGTCTCAGAGTTGAGAGTAGACATAACTTTATGATATGTTTCCTCTTCCTTCTTCCTGTTATTTTCCAGTTCATCTCTCAGGTTCTCACATTCTTCAATATCTTTTTCATTTTTTTCTGGCACTTTCTTCAGCTCCTCCAATTTGTTCTTCTCAGTTATAAGCTGACTCATTAGTTTCTTCCTTTTCTGATTCTTGTGTTTAAAGTCTTCTTGCATTTTAACATCTTCACTCTCCAAGGCCTTAAATTTTTCTGAACACTCATCCTTTGCTTTACTAATTTTCTCTAATTTTTTGCCTAAAGTCTTAATCTCTTCTTCCTTTTCCTTTTTCTTTACACCGAGCTCCTCTAACTTTTTTTTCACTTCGCTCATGCCTTCGTCAATCTCTTGCTTCTTTGCCTCTGCCTTTTCCTTTCTTCGAGAACAGTCCAAGTGATAGCACTGAAGAAGAGAATGTTTTTTCCGAGTTACTTCATTTTCCAGTCTCAAGTGTTCTATGGCTGCTTCTTTGGGCCCTTCTAGCTCATCCTTTTCCTTTTCCACTAATTTCACCCTATTTAACTTCTCCCCTCGTGCTTCATTTAGTTCCTCTACTCTCTTACACAGTAATTCTATAGGGTCTTTGAATCTCGATGATCCAACAATGTCCTCTAGAAACTCAAGCATGCCAGTGTCATGCTCTGTCAAGGCCTTGGGTTTCATCATGGCTATCTGTTCTACTTCACCCTGAAGAATCAAGAATCTATTGTGGTCCAGATCAATACCATGAGCCCGAAGTTCTTTTGAAACGGCCTTAAATTGACATCTTTTTCCATTTATCTGATAAAAGGACGAATTATCACGAAAAGCTGTGCGGGACACAACAAACTGTGAATCTGGAACAATTTCAAAATCATCACCATCCTTGTCAATGATTTTTTGAAAATGAACAGCAACTGTGCAACTCTGAACATCATGATGTTCCTCAGAGTCGTGGATTAAAACGGATATTTTCTTGGATCGAATTTTTTGAGCGCGGTAACCAAAGACAAAAAGCATAGAATCAATAACATTGCTTTTGCCACTTCCATTTGGCCCAACAATAGATGTGAAGCTTTTGTGAAATGGTCCTAGAACCTGCAAAAAGAGTAAAACAATAAATACATTTTGCTAATTTACTTCCAGCAGTCTAGAATATTTTAAGGAATTGTATTTATAGTAGAATAAGTCATATAAAGAGGTGAGCATGGGTCACTACATTTCATCGAGTAACCCAAACTTCTTTTTGACCTAAATAATGAAGCACTCAAATGTCTCCAGTTATCTCAGTCTTTTTATACCATTTAACCTAAATTCCTATTTGGGTCAAAAGGTCCCCCAAAAAAGGTAAAAAAATTGTTCATGAACTCTGTTAGATTACTCGATGATTTGGGTTACCAGAATCTGAATTACAAAGCTGTTATGGTAAGAACAAATGAAACATTAAATTTAAAATTTAGAAATTTCCTTGCCTGTCTGCCAGCATAGCTCTTGAAAAACTCATTTTCAATATGAGTGATAACCAATCTAGGACCTGTACTGTCAAATGTACAAGCTGGCAGTGGTGGCGGGGGCAGGTATATGTCCCCAATTCGGATTCCTCCTTCATCATCTTCGTCATCGTCCTCTTCCATTTCGACATCTTCAACCACATCTTTTTCTGGTTCTGTAACCTTCTCCTTTTCTTTTTCTTTTACCTTTCCTTTCTCTGCTTCCTTACTTTTCTTCTTGTTGGGTGGCATGGTGATGCAGGACTTAACCCTATTAAATTACAAAAAAGTACAATGAATGGTTATCCTTCTCTAAGTTATCAAAATAACATTCATAATAATAAATGTAAATTAAAATTGTTAACTGCACTACTGTACTGTATATTATGCACTGTAACCCTATCCAAGATGAAACCATACAATTTACACAGAGCATCCAATTTGGAAACCTAAGTTCTACTGGTATAGTACAAATATTACTATTTATCAGATAGTATAGGAATTATTGTACATCTAGCTTCCCCTTTATTAAGTCAACAGAATAGAACCTTAATAGTTCCAGTTCTGATTCCCTCGAATTGAATTACATGAAAGGATTGGGAATACCCCCTAGCCCCAACTTCAAGATGTACTGTGAAGTAATACATACAGTATTTAAATTTTACTCTACAACAGCCAGGATTGCTTACAACTATAAATAGAACTGCCTAGCTTAATACTGTTTATTTATGTATGTTTATCTCAAAAGGTCCTTCCACATTTTGGGACCCTTGATTTGCAGAGCATTTCTAGTTTGGTTAAGTCGCACTCTTGGAATATCAAATAGATATTTGTTTCTAGAGTGGTGCCCATGGGTTCTGTTACAATCCTCTAGGAACTGTTTAAAGTCAGGATTAGCATTACAGTTCACAGTTTTAAATATATAGAGTACACTTGAGAGGATATGCAGTGACTTAATATCAAACATATTCAAAGATTTAAGTAAGATGGCCAAGTGCTGTCTGGGTCTAGAGTTTGTTATTGTTTTAATAGCTGATTTGTGTACATACAGTACTGTATAGCATCATCTAGTATAGCACAAATTATATAATGTTAAATTTTAAAAATGTAATGTTTTTATATAGTAAATCTTTATAATTTTATTAGGAGTTATAGCTCGATTGTCCTTTAACCAGCCAGTCATCTATGTGTCAAGTTTCTGACTTAACAAGTTACTATTTACACAATCTATATACACTGTACTGTATTCCTATTTTTTCCACAGAAGAATATCTTGCCAGAGGTTCTTTACTAATTGAATTACAGTAATTATCAAATTCAAATTACCTGCCAAGTGTATCATTGGTACCAGACAAAACTAACAATTTTATAAATTTGTCTGGTCCCTTATTGTATTCTGGAAATTAATGAGCTAGTTAAAATTGCACACACAAACTTCAATAATGCTCATTTCCTAACTGTTAAAAACAGTATACAGTGTATTACAAGGTTAGGCTGGGTTAGGGTTATATTGGTTTTAAAACCTGCTAGAAAAGTCTTGGGTATAAAGTTACCTGCATCCAGAGAGCCCCAGATGTAACAGTAACATGTCACATTCATGTCACGCATCATGTACACAATACAACATAGGTAAAAAAAAATCTTTGTTATATTCCTTAAGTTTGGTTAGATTAGAACAGGTATATATAGTTACAGCAGAACAGGTATATATAGTTAGATTAGGATAGGGCAGGTTAGGTTTGTTTAAATGTGTTGGCAGAAATATTTCACTATATTGCATATAGCACATTCTCACAGGAAAAAATTAGGTTCAGATTGAAGGTGTGTGTGAAGCACCTTGTGTATCAAGAGGGTATGGTCAAAATGCACACAAACACTACTCAACAAAGCTCATTTTCTGTGCGTTAAACCATATATACATTATCATGTTAGGATGTACTAGCTTAGGTTGTCCTTAACCGGGACAGGAAACTAGTGGCTTCTTCTTGAGGTTATCTTGAGATGATTTCGGGGCTTTTTAGTGTCCCTGCGGCCTGGTCCTCGACCAGGCCTCCACCCCCCCCACCCAGGAAGCAGCCCGTGACAGCTGACTAACACCCAGGTACCTATTTTACTGCTAGGTAACAGGGGCATAGGGTGAAAGAAACTCTGCCCATTGTTTCTCGCCGGTGCCTGGGATTGAACCCAGGACCACCGGATCATAAGTCCAGCGTGCTGTCCGCTCGACCGACTGGCTTGTCAAAGGTCTCCCCCTATTGTTCCCAAGGATATTTTTTAACCCAATATTGAACTGTTATGCACGGTCTTGGCATTTATGGCATCAGCATCTAGGCAGTTCCATGGGTTTATAACCCTATGCATGAAAAAGTATCTATGTGCTGGCCTACATTGTGGCTTGCTGAGCCTGAAGCTGCTGCCCCTTGCATGTATGCATTAATCAAATCAAATCAAATCTTTATTCAGGTAAAGTACATACATACAAGGTGAGATACAAAACATTGATAGATTTATAAAGCTAGTACATACAATGCCTAAAGCCACTATTACGCAGAGTTTCGGGCAGCATTACACGTAACCTTTTAAACTAGTGGTCTTAGATTAACATTCTCCCTCTTGTTCAGTATTTTAGAGGTTTCCGAGATGAGTCGTGTCATGTCAGGTACACGGTAGTGTTAGCCCCGAGGCCCTCAACAGTGCCTGGCATGATTTTTGTTGCTATCTTGTACTTCCTCTATAGCTAGACATGTCCTTATAAAGGTGAGGTATGATACTGTAGTACAACGGTGGGCACACAACAGCTTAGATATTTAATTATTTTAAACGTACAAGTCAAATCATTTTAAATTGTATATTATTTATTTAATTAGGTTGACTTTAAAATCCATTAGTGAACTATTTTCAGTTTGATATGAGTTGTATCCATACAAGGTGACACGTATAGTGAACTATTTATTACACAATGGGGTTAATATTTTAAAATCTATACGAAAGCTTGATACCATCACTTCCCTATGATGCTTCACTCATCGACTGCTTCATTTGAACCAACCCAGATACTTTAGGCATGTATCGTAGAGTAGGTCTACATAACACCTACAAACACAGGGCTAAAGTTCATTACATTTGTGAAGGTGATTGAGATTATACTTTAATCTCAATTACCATTAAGTTTTAGTCTTTAATGTTTTTCCTGCCCTAAACGCTTTGCGTAATAGTGGCTTTAGGCATTGTATGTACTAGCTCTATCTATAAATCCATCAAAATCTCTATCACCCCCTGTATGTATGTACTTTACCTAAATAAACATTTGATTTGAAGGTAAAGTGTTAAGCGAGTACAAACACTATACTACAACCAGGAGCGACCCGGGCCGTAACCCGCGACCATAGTCACTTGTCTCATACTCTCAAGTCTACGCATATGTCTGCTGGCAGTATGAGGAGCATGCGTGTGTCACTGTACAGTAGTGGAGGATAAAGGGGCAAGAGGAGTGATAATGAGGGCAGGACTCACCCCAGTAAGGAGGACGTCGCCAGGCTCCAGTTTTGGCGCCCAACTTCCACAACAAACACTTCCCTCCCGCTCTTGCCACCTTCTCACAATATTATATATATACTCATCTATACTTTACCACACGCAGCTTATTCATCTCTTTCAAATAATGACTATGCGTTGCATAATTTGACTGTTATAAATGATAGTTGTTGTCTATAGTACGGATATTTAGATTTTAATATTCATTACAAATTGTATTGTTGGAAACTGCAGGCGGCCGCTGGTTACATTCAAATGTTATGTGAAGAGAGAACTTTGTACTCCTCTGGTTTTATTATTTGTTAACTACAGGTCAGGTTTGGTAAAATTCTGTAATTCTTCGTTTTTCCTTCATGGATATTTTTTTCTTATAATATGACTGTTTCTAACTCCTAATATATACAATTAGCTTCAATGTTGACGACCAATAAGACTGAAATAAAATATTTTAAATATTTGCCTTATTTTTTAAACTGTAAATCAGTTTGGGTAAAATTCCTGAATTCTTCCCAAATACCATTATATACCATATAATGGTATCAACCGTTTCAATTCAAATCAAAGGTCCAAACATATAGTTAACCATGTCGTAGCTCAGTCGATTAAGGCAGCTTCTAGGATGCTCTTAGACGCAGGTTCGAATCCTCGTCACGGCCCTTGTGGATTTGTTCAAAAGTCCAAACCTTTCCACATATTCTAAAAAAAAAAAAACGAGATTAACCCCAGTCCATAAATGTGGTCATGTCACTGATGTTAACAACTTCAGACTTATATCAATCCAACAAACTAACACTTAACATAGAAAAGACCTACTACATCCTATTTGGAAGCAAATCTACAAATGCAATTCAGCTTCAGATTGACAATGTAAACATTAGCAATAAAAATGATGGAAAGTTTCTTGGCATATTCTTAGACAAGAGACTCAACTTCAGTACCCACATACAACACATAACTAAGAAAGTCTCTAAAACAGTTGGTATACTCTCCAAAATCAGATATTATGTTCCTAACTCTGCTCTCATCTCTCTATATTATGCACTAATCTATCCCTATCTCAACTATGGTATCTGTGCATGGGGTTCAACCACTGCAAACCACCTCAAGTCCATCATCACCCAGCAAAAATCTGCTATCAGAATAATATCAAATTCTGCTTTCAGACAACACACAGCCCCCTTGTTTAACTCCCTAAACATGCTAAACATAATCTCACTCCACAAATTCTCTTGTGTCAACTACATTTACAAAACCCTGTTCTTAAATGCAAATCCTTGTCTGAAACTCTTCCTGGACAGATGTAATAGGACCCATTATCACCACACCAGAAATAAATATCTCTTTGATATCCCCAGAGTTAAACTTAATCTGTGTAAACACTCTATGCAAATAAAAGGACCCAGTTTATGGAACTCACTCCCTACTGAATTGAAAAGCTGTCCAACTTTTACATCATTCAAAATCAATACTAAAAAGTACCTAATTTCATCTTCATAGTTTTTCACTTTTTGCCTTAAAATTACACTGTATCAATTGCTACCCAATCTCCCAACCTTTATGTTCCCAATTTGAACATCTTTACCATTGTGATCATTGCTGTTTTCTTATATGTGCTGCCAATCTGTTGTATGGTGTTTATAAATCTTGTTTATCTGTATCTTTTGCTGCCCAGTCTCCCAATCTTTATGTACCCAATCTGAACATCTTTACCATTGTGATCATTGCTGTCTTATATGTGCTGTCAATCTGCTGTATGGTGTCTATTAATCTTGTTTAAATTACTAATTAAGCTGTCAATGTAATCAATCAGAGCTTTAATATAACAATGTGCTTTAATATACTTACTTATCTCTCTCATCTCATTTTTCTCTTGTAATGTATCTTTATCATTTATCAATTCTGATTGAAATTACCTACTTAAAATTATCTGCTAGATTAAGGACCTGCCCGAAACTCTGCGCGTACTAGTGGCTTTACAAGAATGTAAATACTGTACTATCCAATGTATTCTCACAAACCCAATGTACCTTCTTGTATATATATAAATAAATAAATAAATAAATAAATAAATAAATAAATAAATAAATAAATAAATAAATCCTGCTGAACTTGTCAAAAATATTTGAAAAACTAATCAACAAGCAGCTTTACTCTTATCTAGCCAAACACAATATACAGTACTTAGCTCTTGCCAATATGGCTTCGACCCCCTAAAAAAGTACTAACGATGCACTGATTAGTATGGAGTCATCATTATGGAGTCAGAGGTCACTCCCTCCAATATCTTCAGTCTTACCTTACTAACAGGCTCCAGTATGTTTCTGTGAATAATTCAATTTCTCCCACCCTTCCCATCAACATTGGTGTTCCTCAGGGCAGCATACTTGGCCCTCTAATCTTTCTCATCTACATTAAGGACCTTCCAAATGCCTCTCAACACCTAAAAACCAATTCAGTTTGCTGACGACACAATTAACCTTCATTTTCTCCAGTCCTGACCCACTTGCTCTAAATGTCACAGTGAATACTGAACTAAATAAAGTCCATCTTTGGCTAACTGCCAAGAAACTCACCCTTAACATTGACAAAACTTTTTATATTTTGTTTGGCAATAAATCCTCAAATCAAATTAATCTAAGAATAAACAATATACAAATTAATAACAAAGTAGATGGCAAATTCCTTGGTGTTCTCATCGATAACAAGCTGAATTTCCAGGGACACATTCTAAACATGTCAAAAAAGTTTCTAAAACTGTTGGCATTCTTTCTAAGATCAGATATTATGTATCTCGCCCTGCCCTGGTGACGCTCTATTACTCTCTCATCTATCCTTATCTCAATTATGGTATTTGCGCTTGGGGTTCTACTACACAAAATCATTTAAGTCCTCTAATTACCCAACACAAAGCTTCTATTAGAACAATATCTAACTCTGGCCCCAGACAGCTCTCAGTACCCTTACTCAAATCTTCGAATATGTTAGATATTAAGTCACTGCATATCCTCTAACGTGTACTCTATATATTTAAAACTCTGAACTGCAATGTCAATCCTGACCTTAGAAGCTTCCTAGAAGGTTGTAACAGAACTCATAGGAACCACACCAGAAACTAATACCTATTTGAGATTCTAAGAGTGCGACTTAACCACACTAGAAATGTTCTACAAATCAAGGGACGCAGAATGTGAAATGACCTTCCCAATCATGTCAAAGGCTGTACCTCTCTCAACCAGTTTTATAGAAAAACTAAGTATACCTGAACTCCATGTAACCTACCTGTTACCTCCTAAATGTCAACCTATGTCTTGCTGTTTTCAAACATTATTGATTATTTACTAACTTGTTTAACTGCTGATATCTGCCATGTATACTCTTAAATAAAATTGTAATCTTGTTTATTTAGTTAAAATTCCTTCTGCTGTTCTGTTGCATTTTCTGCTGTTTTATCCTTCATGTAACTATTATCATTCTCTTCTTACTTTTTTCCTTTTATAAAAATTCAATTTATGCTTTTGATCTCAATTAGTATTAAGTTTTAGTCTAAGTGGGGTTTTTTTTCCACACCAGGCCAGATTCACGAAGCAGTTACGCAAGCACTTACGAACCTGTACATCTTTTCTGTATCTTTGCCGACTTTGTTTACAATTATTAAACAGTTTGACATTTTCTCTACTCTCTTTCCATGGGGATCCTCTGACAAGCTACCTGTTTCCTTGTCCTCGTCGAGGCCACTATACTGATACCTGGTTGATACCTGGTTGATGGGGTTCTGGGAGTTCTTCTACTCCCCAAGCCCGGCCCGAGGCCAGGCTTGACTTGTGAGAGTTTGGTCCACCAGGCTGTTGCTTGGAGCGGCCCGCAGGCCCACATACCCACCACAGCCCGGTTGGTCCGGCACTCCTTGGAGGAATAAATCTAGTTTCCTCTTGAAAATGTCCACGGTTGTTCCGGCAATATTTCTTATGCTTGCTGGGAGGACGTTGAACAACCGCGGACCTCTGATGTTTATACAGTGTTCTCTGATTGTGCCTATGGCACCTCTGCTCTTCACTGGTTCTATTCTACATTTTCTTCCATAACGTTTACTCCAGTACGTTGTTATTTTACTGTGTAGATTTGGTACTTGGCCCTCCAGTATCTTCCAGGTGTATATTATTTGATATCTCTCTCGTCTTCTTTCTAGTGAGTACATTTGGAGGGCTTTGAGACGATCCCAATAATTTAGGTGCTTTATTGCATCTATGCGTGCCGTATATGTTCTCTGTATTCCCTCTATTTCAGCAATCTCTCCTGCTCTGAAGGGGGAAGTGAGTATACTGAACAGTACTCAAGACGGGACAACACAAGTGACTTGAAGAGTACAACCATTGTGATGGGATCCCTGGATTTGAAAGTTCTCGTAATCCATCCTATCATTTTTCTGGCTGTCGCAATATTTGCTTGGTTATGCTCCTTAAACGTTAGGTCATCAGACATTATTATTCCCAAATCCTTTACATGCTGTTTTCCTACTATGGGTACATTTGATTGTGTTTTGTACTCTGTATTATGTTTAAGGTCCTCATTTTTACCGTACCTGAGTACCTGGAATTTATCACTGTTAAACATCATGTTATTTTCTGATGCCCAGTCGAAAACTTTATTAATATCAGCTTGAAGTTTTTCAATGTCCTCAGCCGAGGTAATTTTCATACTGATTTTTGTGTCATCTGCAAAGGATGATACGAAGCTGTGACTTGTATTTTTGTCTATATCTGATATGAGAATAAGGAAAAGCAGCGGTGCAAGGACTGTACCCTGAGGTACAGAGCTTTTCACTGCACTTGGACTAGATTTTATATGGTTGACAGTTACTCGCTGAGTCCTGTTTGACAGAAAACTGAGTATCCAGCGTCCTACTTTACCGGTTATTCCCATTGACTTCATTTTGTGTGCTATCACGCCATGGTCACATTTATCGAAAGCCTTTGCGAAGTCCGTGTATATCACATCAGCATTCTGTTTCTCTTCTAATGAGATGGTGACTGAGACTGAGATGGTGGCCCTCGGGTAAATTCTGGAATTTCATCCACACCTGGCGCTTTATATTCCATTAACTTGTCAACAATCTTCCTGATTGTTTAGCACGCTAAAGGAATGTTCTTCACTCTCTTTCCCCTGCTTCATACCCTGTGTGGGTATTGAAATGTTGTCTGATTTTTCTTGTGTGAACACTAGTTTATTCATTCAGATTGTCAGCTGTCGTTTAATTGTCAGTTATAGATTGGTTGGTCACATCTTCAAGGGTCCTACCAAGTCTTTTGACTTTTTCTTTATATAGGCATAAACAAGACTTGGTATTTTTCTTAATGTTTTAATAAAGCGTTTTTTCATAGTTTCTTTTGCTGATATGATTTCCATGGTAGCTGAATTTAATGCCCTTCTGTGTATATCATTACCTATGTGATTCCTAGTAGACTAATACTTTACTTAATTCTTCCATAGGTTTATATTGACTCCCCCCAGTAAATGTTTTGCAATTCCTCTCTCATTACATGATTCCAACGAAGGTAGGCTAGAAAGTCATCGTCCTGAATGTTTATATGGGTTTCTATAATTATAGTCCATCTTAGAATACTGTGGTCACATGAAAGGGCGAGGTTCTTCCCCTGCTTGGATTTGATCGATCGTGCTCTTCAAGTATGTTTATTGAGATAAGCAATAAATACATCTCAAAGGGATAGAGTAGCTTAGGCTATTTCTACCCCCCTCTACTTCAAATCCCTCAAGGGGCGCACAAATTCAGTGAGTACAAATAGACATATAACAGTACAAGAATCCCATTTAACATTGCATACAGCAAGTACAGCATATAATTGTTACATTCTTGGGGCAAAATTCTTGTAGCTCCTAAGTATACTGTCTATTATACCATTATCACACATCCAAACAATTTAGATTCAGATTCAGATTCAGATGTTTATTCAGGTAAGGTATATACATAAGTGTATATTATTTGATGTGGTACACTATAAATAGTGTACCACAATTTGATGTGGTACACTATTTATTTCCTTATTTCTATAGTTTTCAATAAGTTGACACTCTAATACATAATGTTCTAAGGTGTGGGCGTGCGGCATACTACATAATTTACACTCCTTATCTTTTTCACTGACATCAACACCGTATTGCCAGATATATTTATATCCTAATCGTAATCTCATGTAAATTGAATCCTTCCAAGTAGACTTTCCTTTACCATAAGTGAAGGACGAATTTGTATTTATTATTGAATAATTCTTAAGTGTGTTACTACTTTCCACCATTGCCATTCTCTTTATCATTTCTTCACCCTCCTGAATCACCTTGAGTCTTGTTTTTATTTGTTTCAAGGTTAACTGACATACAACATCAACAAGAGTTTTTTCACTGGCTCTCTTCGCTATGTCATCAACTACCTCATTCAACAGTATTCCCACATGTGAAGGGATCCACATGAATCTTACTTTATACCCAGTTTTTTCTAGTCTCTTAACATTCTCTCTACACTCTATCACAATATTCTGATATACTGGGCGTCTGCTATTTAAAGACTCTAACGCTCCTCTGCTGTCAATAAAGAAGCAAGCATTTTTACCACATTTGACTACTTCCTGTAATCCTGCTAATACTCCTTGGAGTTCAGCCTGCGTTGAAGAGACATTGTCAGTTAAGCGGCGTCCAATAACAGTATCTACAGTGCCGATGTCAGTGTACTCCCTGATCAAGACTCCATCGTGATCGTGCTCTCTTCTATTGTTACACAAGATCTCTAGAATGCATCAGCTTTACTTCCTCCTTTGTGAAGTGGCGCGATCTCTACTGTTTTAAAACTGTCAAGGGATAACACCAATATCTAGGCTACGGCTCCAAAACGATGTTTAGAGCCTATGACAGTGTTTCATTTTTTAAATTCTTGATAAATATAGAATTCCAGGAGTATGTGCTTGATGCAGAGTGCTTGGGCATGCTGTCTATGGCTACTTCAAAATCAGGTGGGGCTAAGGTAACATTTGAGATATGGTTCGATGGTGTCACATTCATAAAGAATTCGTTTGGTCATTGATCTGCAATGTGTTCAGGGATTCACTGAAAACTGAATTGAAATTGAAATTGAAATTGAATTGAAATAAGTTTATTGAGGTAAAATACACACAAAGGGATGAGGTAGCTCAAGCTATTCTCACCCCATTCAGTACAACGTGTTAATATATACATAGACACACATCACAAATAAACATATTACCAAACATTCTGAGAGGTAAACATACATTTCCTCCTTCACAAGTAGTATGGTATCAGACGTACACACAAATACTTTTATGACCTAGGTATACTGTATAGACAATTTGCAAGACACCTGCAGATAATTCAACAAAATATTACAATCTTGGTGCAAAATTCTTATATCTCTCAAGAATATCATCAACCTTTCCGTTGTGACACATCCAGGCTATTTGTTCAGGAACAGTCCTTATCTCAGTGTTTCTATATACGTTAATCAACGGACAATCAAGAACATAATGGGCCAGGGTGTGAGACCTTAACATACCACATAGTTTACACTTCGTATCATTATCATGAACATCTATCCCATATTCCCAGTAATATTTGTACCCAAGCCTGAGCCGCATGTACACAGTCACTCCAAGCATTTCTCCTTTTACCATAAGTGAAATGGGTGTTTTGACTCACATACATGTAGTGGTGCATGGTTTGACTACTCTCATACATTATCTCTCTCCTCTCCACTCCCGCCTGTGCCTGAATATTTCTGATTTTGCTTCTTATTTGTCTCATTGTGAATTCACATTCAATGTCAACTTGTGGTTTTGATGTGGCACGTTTGGCCAAGTCATCCGCCACCTCGTTGAGCACTATTCCAACATGAGATGGAATCTACATGAATTTCACACTATGACCTTTCAGCTGTATCTCAGTTATTCTTCTCTTACAGTCCTCAACTATAGACATGAAAACTGAATCGTACTGTAACCTCAGTACTTCACTCATTTCTTTGCTGTTATCGTGTGAAGGTTCTATCAATCTTGCGCAGTAGCCTAATGCAGGATGTAGTTCTTGTTCTAGATTTTCCATAGGAGAAAAATTATTTCAGATTCCTCTCTATTTCGCTTATAGTGTTTTGCTCTCTTTGCCTCTTCTGCATTTTATATGAGTCTTGAAGCCTTAGCTCAATCGTTTCTATTTCTCCATATAGCCTCCTTTGTTGTTCTTGAGATAGAGTTGGGCGTTTAAGATGTTCTGCAGTATGTTTTCTTTGATTATAGAGGGAACGGTGTTCTCGTTCCAGTTTACATCTTTTTCTCTTTCTCCTTAGTGGTATGTGACGTGCACATATTTCTAGTGCTTCTGTGCCTATTCTCTCAAGACACTGGTTGAAGTTTACATTATCTAGCTGTCTTTCCTGGAATATTTCTCTGAGGACCTGGTTTATTTGTTCCAAATTAATCCGTTTATTTAAATTGAGTTTCTTGAATTATTCTCTTGGATTTAAGACTGACTGCACAGGTCTATTGCCCATGCATGTCTGAACTTCAATTAGGTGCCTTGGGTTCGAATCCTGGCCGGGGAGGATTGACCGGGCGCCAGTCCTTAACTGTAGCCTCTGTTCACCCAGCAGTGAATGGGTACCTGGTTGTTAAACGATTCGGCGGGGTCGTATTCCGGGGAAATTAGGGTTAAGGACCTTGCCCGAAACGCTACGCGTAATAGTGGCTTTACAAGAATGTAAAAACTCTTGTATATATAGGTTGTGATCTGAGTAACATGTATTTGTAATCATTATACCTAATCAGTTCATCTTTGTTTGTAAAAAAAGATCTAAGGTATTTTCTTTCCTAGTTGGTTTTACTATTTGCTGATTTAAGGTACATCTGTCACACATTTACAAGAGGTCACTTATATGTAACTGTTCACTTAAAGTGCTTCCTGGAATTCTCTGTGGTATAGCTGTATTTGCCACATTTTTTCACTTTAGATGCCGCAAGTTGAAGTCGTCAAGCAAGATGATGATTGGGGCAGGGTTTGAGAAGTTGTCTAGGCAGTATTCACTTCTTGTAAGTTGGTCTACAGGAGTATTCACTTCTTATAAGTTGGTCACAGGAGTCCTGTAGCAGGTCAAGAAATTTTTCTCCTTCCATTTCGGCTGTTAAATTCGCCGAATTCTTGATTCTAGTGTATCATTTTACTCAAGATATATAATATCCAAATTCAGGACACATGATGACAGTCTGTGTAATGTTCTGTAGTGGGTAAGATAGTCCGAGTAAGTAGAGTTCGAGTAAGTGGGTGAGGATAGTTCGATTAAGGAGGTTTGAAAGTGCCGCCGCCTGGACCTTGCTGACGGCTGGAGATGGTGGTCGACCCAGACATCACCACCACCCAGTCTTCTCCTTATATCACCTCTCAATACCTCAATATTACGTTGTATATTTTTAGATTCGCTAAACGATCCGCGTAGAATAAAGTGTGTGCCAATTTTTTTCTGGTATTGGTTAATTTTGTATATTGGGTATGGAATAATACATTATTGGAACCATTTGCAAGTGAGGAGGAATGGAGAAGTCGAAGTGATGCAGAGTGAACACACACAAGGTGACGCCCTCTTGTGCTTAAAGATGGGGCGTATTAGGCTCCCTCTCCCGGTTTAGTGGCTTCTGTGGGCGTCTAGTGTAGCCAGCGGGCGTGGGCACCTGCGGTGAGATGGCGTCGACAGGCCCGCGCCCCGACACCCAGCCTCAGGAACCTGCCGCCGCTGCTGCTGCCGCCGCTGCTGCAGCGTCTCCTGCAGCCATGGTGGGCGCCGCGGCAGCCGTCAGCCCTCACAAGGCGTCACAGCAGCAGGGGCAGCCCTTCGAACCCCTGGACAAGTCCGCCAGCCAGACGGTCAAGGTGAGAGGCTTCCCCGCCGCAGGTGGGGGCGGCCAGTGTCACTCCCTCCCCCTGGCACACGCCCTCTGTGGCACGCCCTCTGTGGCACACACGCCCTCTGTGGCACACGTCCTCTGTGGCACACATCCCCTCTGTGGCACACACACCCTCTGTGGCACACACGCCCTCTGTGGCACACACCCTCTGTGGCACACACGCCCTCTGTGGCACACACCCTCTGTGGCACACACGCCCTCTGTGGCACACACGCCCTCTGTGGCACACACGCCCTCTGTGGCACACACCCTCTGTGGCACACACGCCCTCTGTGGCACACACGCCCTCTGTGGCACACGTCCTCTGTGGCACACACGCCCTCTGTGGCACACACGCCATCTGTGGCACACACGCCCTCTGTGGCACACACGCCCTCTGTGGCACACACGCCCTCTGTGGCACACACGCCCTCTGTGGCACACACGCCCTCTGTGGCACACACGCCCTCTGTGGCACACACGCCCTCTGTGGCACACACGCCCTCTGTGGCACACCCCCCCTCTGTGGCACACACGCCCTCTGTGGCACACACGCCCTCTGTGGCACACACGCCCTCTGTGGCACACACCCCCTGTGGCACACACCCCCTCTGTGGCACACACCCCCTCTGTGGCACACACCCCCTCTGTGGCACACACGCCCTCTGTGGCACACACGCCCTCTGTGGCACACACGCCCTCTGTGGCACACATCCCCTCTGTGGCACACACGCCCTCTGTGGTACACATGCCCTCTGTGGCACACACCCTCTGTGGCACCCTCCTGTGGCACACACCCTATGTGGCACCATCTGGCACACGCCCTCTGGCACACACCCTATGTGGCACCCTCTGGCACACACCCTCTGTGGCACCCTCCTGTGGCACACGCCCTCTGTGGCACACACCCTCTGTGGCTGGCACCCTCTGTGGCACACACACCTCTGTGGCGCACACACCCTCTGTGGCACCCTCTGGCACACACCCTATGTGGCACCCTCTGTGGCACACACCCTATGTGGCACCCTCTGGCACACACCCCTCTGTGGCACACGCCTTCTGTGGCACACACCCCTCTGTGGCACACGCCCTCTGTGGCACACGCCCTCTGTGGCACACGCCCCTCTGTGGCACACACCCCTCTGTGGCACACTCCCCGTTGTGGCACACTCCCTCTTGTGGCACACTCCCCCTTGTGGCACACTCCCCCTTGTGGCACACTTCCCCCTTGTGGCACACTTCCCCCTTGTGGCACACCCTTATGGTACACACACACTGGCTCACTTCCTTGAGACCCCCCCTTGTGGCACATTGCCTTGTGGCACCCCCATGTTGCACCCCCCCTTGTGGCACATTGCCTTGTGGCACACCCTTATGGTACACACATACTGGCTCACTTCCTTGTGGCACCCCCCATGTGGCACCCCCCCTTGTGGCACCCCTCATGTGGCACACACCCCTTTTGACACCCCCCCTTGTGGCACCCCATGTGGCACACCCCCTTGTGGCACCCCATGTGGCACACCCCCTTGTGGCACCCCATGTGGCACACCCCCTTTGTGGCACCCCATGTGGCACACCCCCTTTGTGGCACCCCATGTGGCACACCCCCTTTGTGGCACCCCATGTGGCACACCCCCTTTGTGGCACCCCATGTGGCACACCCCCCTTGTGGCACCCCATGTGGCACACCCCCTTGTGGCACCCTATGTGGCACACCCTTGTGGCACCCCATGTGGCACACCCTTGTGGCACCCCATGTGGCACACCCTTGTGGCACCCCATGTGGCACCCCCCTTGTGGCACCCCATGTGGCACCCCCCCCCCTTGTGGCACCCCATGTGGCACACCCCCCTTGTGGCACCCCATGTGGCACACCCCCCTTGTGGCACCCCATGTGGCACACCCCCCTTGTGGCACCCCATGTGGCACCCCATGTGGCACCCTATGTGGCACACCCCCCATGTGGCACCCCATGTGGCACCCCATGTGGCACACCCCCCTTGTGGCACCCCATGTGGCACACCCCCCATGTGGCACCCCATGTGGCACCCCATGTGGCACACCCCCCTTGTGGCACCCCATGTGGCACACCCCTCTTGTGGCACCCCATGTGGCACACCCCCCTTGTGGCACCCCATGTGGCACACCCCCCTTGTGGCACCCCATGTGGCACACCCCCCTTGTGGCACCCCATGTGGCACACCCCCCATGTGGCACCCCATGTGTCACACCCCCCTTGTGGCACCCCATGTGGCACACCCCCCTTGTGGCACACCCCCCTTGTGGCACCCCATGTGGCACACCCCCCCTTGTGGCACCCCATGTGGCACCCCATGTGGCACACCCCACTTGTGGCACCCCATGTGGCACACCCCCCTTGTGGCACCCCATGTGGCACACCCCCCTTGTGGCACCCCATGTGGCACACCCCCCTTGTGGCACCCCATGTGGCACACCCCCCTTGTGGCACCCCATGTGGCACACCCCCCTTGTGGCACCCCATGTGGCACACCCCCCTTGTGGCACCCCTTGTGGCACCCCATGTGGCACCCCATGTGGCACATCTCCCTTGTGGCACCCCATGTGGCACCCCCTTGTGGCACCCCCCTTGCGGCACACCATGTGGCACACCCCCCATGTGGCACCCCATGTGGCACACCCCTCTTGTGGCACCCCATGTGGCACACCCCCCTTGTGGCACCCCATGTGGCACACCCCCCGTGTGGCACCCCATGTGGCACACCCCCCGTCGGGCACCCCCTGTGGCACACCCCCCGTGTGGCACCCCATGTGGCACACCCCCCTTGTGGCACCCCATGTGGCACACCCCCCTTGTGGCACCCCTTGTGGCACCCCATGTGGCACCCCATGTGGCACATCTCCCTTGTGGCACCCCATGTGGCACCCCCTTGTGGCACCCCCCTTGCGGCACACCATGTGGCACACCCCCCATGTGGCACCCCATGTGGCACACCCCTCTTGTGGCACCCCATGTGGCACACCCCCCTTGTGGCACCCCATGTGGCACACCCCCTTTGTGGCACCCCATGTGGCACACCCCCCTTGTGGCACCCCATGTGGCACACCCCCCTTGTGGCACACCCTTTTGGTACACATACGCTGGCACACACTCGCTTGTGGCACACGCTGGCACACACTAGATTGTGGCACATGCTATCACACGCTTGACTGTGGCACACGTGGCACACCCTCGACTGTGGCACACGCTGGCACACGCTCGACTGTGGCACACGCTGGCACATGCTCGACTGTGGCACACGCTGGCACACGCTCGACTGTGGCACACGCTGGCACACGCTGGCACACGCTCGACTGTGGCACACGCTGGCACACGCTCGACTGTGGCACACGCTGGCACACGCTCGACTGTGGCACACGCTCGACTGTGGCACACGCTGGCACACGCTCGACTGTGGCACACGCTGGCACACGCTCGACTGTGGCACACGCTGGCACACGCTCGACTGTGGCACACGCTGGCACACGCTCGACTGTGGCACACGCTGGCACACGCTCGACTGTGGCACACGCTGGCACACGCTCGACTGTGGCACACGCTGGCACACGCTCGACTGTGGCACACGCTGGCACACGCTCGACTGTGGCACACGCTGGCACACGCTCGACTGTGGCACACGCTGGCACACGCTGGACTGTGGCATACGCTGGCACTCGCTGGACTGTGGCACACGCTGGCACTCGCTGGACTGTGGCACACGCTGGCACTCGCTGGACTGTGGCACACGCTGGCACTCGCTGGACTGTGGCACACGCTGGCACTCGCTGGACTGTGGCACACGCTGGCACTCGCTGGACTGTGGCACACGCTGGCACTCGCTGGACTGTGGCACACGCTGGCACTCGCTGGACTGTGGCACACGCTGGCACTCGCTGGACTGTGGCACACGCTGGCACTCGCTGGACTGTGGCACACGCTGGCACTCGCTGGACTGTGGCACACGCTGGCACTCGTTGGACTGTGGCACACGCTGGCACTCGCTCGACTGTGGCACACGCTGGCACTCGCTCGACTGTGGCACACGCTGGCACTCGCTCGACTGTGGCACACGCTGCCACTCGCTCGACTGTGGCACACGCTCGACTGTGGCACACGCTGGACTGTGGCACACGCTGGCACTCGCTCGACTGTGGCACACGCTGGCACTCGCTCGACTGTGGCACACGCTGGCACACGCTCGACTGTGGCACACGCTGGCACTCGCTCGACTGTGGCACACGCTGGCACTCGCTCGACTGTGGCACACGCTCGACTGTGGCACACGCTGGCACTCCCTGGACTGTGGCACACGCTGGCACTCGCTGGACTGTGGCACACGCTGGCACTCGCTGGACTGTGGCACACGCTGGCACTCGCTGGACTGTGGCACACGCTGGCACTCGCTCGACTGTGGCACACACTGTGGCAAAATGTACCATCGTTGATTTGGCATCTTGTTTGTAAGGTTCTTACTGTCCTATCCATCATTTTTCTTGCAGTTGTGACAGCTGCTTTATTGTATCCTTTAAAAGTGAGTATGTCTGACATGATTATCCCAAATGTTTTATGTTGCTTATTTCAATTTTATGTTGTTTCCATTTTAATAATTCATATTCCGGGGGGCAGGCAGCCAGTTTATACATACAGTATATATTAGGCTTGGGTCAAGACCCCCCTCCCTCCCAAATGTTAGATTACTGACCCTCCCCAGGATACAACCCCACAACCAGCTAACTAACTTCTGGGGTGCCTATTTACTGCTAGGTAAACAGGCTATTAGGTGATAGGAAACCATTTGTCCAGCCCAGGATTTGAACCTGGATTTCTCTATAAATTTGAATTCTTGTTTTGATATTTTAGTTTTATTGTGGCTGAGTTGCTGGAACTTACCTTTATTGAACTTCATGTTGTTTTCTGTAGCCCACTGAAAGAGGTGATTTACATTAGCGGTTAGCCAATCCTCACAGGCTCTGGAGAAGGAGCCTAGGTACTAGTGTTAACCCCAACATACTTAAAACAGCAGAGATTGTGCCACTCCAGAAAGAGGGTAGTAAAGCAGATGCAAAAAAATTATAGACCAATAGCTCTATCATCACAGACACTGAAGGTGAGGGGGGTACATGGTGAATGCAGGCAGAGTTCAGAATAGTGATGCAGATGCTCAGGAGAGGGCTGCAGAAGTCATGGATAGGCAAAGACGAAAAAACAACCACATTGTAAGAAGCCTTGCAAAAGAAAGAGGACAAGAATAACCAGGAAATCATTGAGGCAGTGATATAGAAACTGGCCAGGAGGAGGATCTAAGTACTGTATAGTATATCCAATGTTGGTAGGTTAGGTAGGCCTGAAGCAAATCTGGTATGCATAACCATTTAAAATTTTGAACACAGGAGGCTACTCAACAGTGCACAAAAACTAAAAGATCTCGAGGGGTATAGCCAAGTTTACATCTCTCCAGACTGCACAGTGGAACAGCAGAAAAACGACAGAGTATTAACTCAAAGTAAAGGAGTTAAAAAAAACAGACCGATATAAAGATTCATAGGTAAATATCAGGAAAGGGCAGGTGATCATGATAGTAGAGAGGAGAGGACATAGTCCTTCACCCCAGCCAAGCAGAGCCAACCTTGTATATCTCGGACGACATACAGGCTCAGAACCAGAGCAACAATGTACAGAATAGTACAGTACTGTACAGAATACAGGGGCTCCTTGAGGTGCTTCCGGGGCTTAGTGTCCCCGACGACCGGGCCGCGGGGACACTAAGCCCCGGAAGCACCTCAAGGTGGCAATGTCTCAGCCCCTAGGAACAATGTCATGAGTTTAAATTGTTTCTTCACAAATGCCAAAAGCCTACTACTGTATATAAATTTGATGTACTGTACAGTATACATATGCTGAGGCTGAGAATCCCAACATCATTGGCACCAGTGAAACATGGGGGAAGAGAGGACAAAATAGAAGAGAAATTCCATCTCCCAGGATACCGTCCACCATTCAGAAAGGACAGAACAACAAGACAAGGTGAGTTAATGCTATACGGTATATGTAAAAAGAGGGCCAGAATGCAACCATCAGTGAGGAACTGAATGTGAAGTTTGTATGGAGCAATATACTAGCTCAAGATGGCAGCAAACTGACAGTGGGAGTATGCTACAGGGCTGACACAGCAACAGCAGCAGAGGAAGTTGCTGATCTGCATAATGTGATCAATGTGGCATCAGAAACCCACACCCTTATAATGGATGACTTTAATCAAGAGACCGTAGACTGGGTAAATCTAACAACACAAGCAGAAGAATGGGACAGTCTCTGTGGCGCAGTGGTAACACACAAATGTCCCACACTTCATGAGTGATTTGGCCTAGGTTTCTATCCTGGACAGGAAGGATTGACTTGGTGTCAGTCCTCAACTGTATGCCCCTATTCACCCAGCAGTGATTGGGTACCAGGTTGTTAAATGATTGGCGAGTCATATTCCAGGGAAAAAAAGTAGTGGGTAAGGCTTACATGAGCTATGGGAAGGGGAACGCTCTCAGCCAATCTGTCACACAATCTGTGGGGGGGGGGGGGGGGTCTGGTAACTGAGCGGACAGCGCGCAGGACTCTTAATTCTGTGGCCTGGTTTCGATTCTTGGACCAGGCAGAAACAAATGGGCAAAGTTTCTTTCACTCTGATGCCCAGTTACCTAGCAGTAAATAGGTACCTGGAAGTTAGACAGCTGTTACAGAGCTGCTTCCTGGGTGTGGTTTGGCCTAAGTGTAATTACCGAAGTGTAATTACCTAAGTGTAATTACCTAAGTGTAGTTACAGGATGAGAGCTATGCTCGTGGTGTCCCGTCTACCCAGCACTCTTTGTCATATGACGCTTTGAAGCTAGTGACGGTTTTGGCCTCCACCACCTTCTCACCTAACTTGTTCCAACCGTCTACCACTCTGTTTACAAAAGAGAATTTTCTTATATTTCTGTGGCAGCTTTGTTTTGTTAGTTTAAATCTATGACCTCTTGTTCTTGAAGTTGATTGATTGACAGTTGAGAGGCGGGCCGAAAGAGCAGAGCTCAACCCCGCAAGAACAACTAGGTGAATACAACTAGATGAACAAATTCACAAGGGCCGTGACGAGGATTCGAACCTACGTCCGAGATGATCCCAGATGCTTCCTTAATCGACTGGGCTACGACATGGTCAAAAGAGTTGAAACCAGAAGTTCTACTGAGCTTACTTGGATCCTGCAGCCTCTCCGAGACAAACCAGGGCTTTACACAACTCCCCCATGCGTGATGCATCAATGATGCATCACGCTATTGTGATTTCTGTGTGTAATGAAGTAAGGGCGAAGAGGTAGAACGGCCTATTGACATAGCTCGAGTGCATGGGGGAGTTGCGTAAAGCCCTGGTTTGTGTCTCGGAGAGGCTGCAGGATCCAAGTAAGTTCAGTAGAACTTCTGGTTTCAACTCTTTTTGACCATGTCGTAGCTCAGTCGATTAAGGCAGCGTCTGGGATCATCTCGGACGTAGATTTGAATCCTTGTGACGGTCCTTGTGGATTTGTTCATTGATGCATCACGCTATTGTGATTTCTGTGTGTAACTAGGTGAATACTGTACACATCTGTAAGAGGTTATTTGTGTGTGACCTTTAGACTGCTTCCTGGGAATCTCTTGATATACAATAACATTATTTACTATATTTTTCATTTTAGGTGCTTTAAGTTGAATTTGCCAAGCAAGATGATATTATTTGGGGCAAGGTTTGGGATGTTTTGTTAGCAAATGTTCTATTTTCATTTGTGGTGTTTAGCAGGTCATTGCAGATGAGTATATCTTGGATATACTGTACAGGGCTAGCCTGTAGCCCATTTCCTGTCACATCTGAAAAGATTGTACTGTACTGTATTCTGGTATCCTTATTTCACTACAAAGTAGTTATTTATGCAAGTTTCAGTTAAGGATTTAAGAATGCAAATGCAGTACTGCATTTGCCTCGTTTATAAAAATGGCTGTTGAATATACAGTACTGTTGTGACGTGATGTTGTATTGCAGCTATACTGAGCCAAGGTTATCTTGAGATGATTTTGGGGCTTTTTAGTGTCCCCGCGGCCCGGTCCTTGACCAGGCCTCCACCCCCAGGAAGCAGCCCGTGACAGCTGACTAACACCCAGGTACCTATTTTACTGCTAGGTAACAAGGGCATAGGGTGAAAGAAACTCTGCCCATTGTTTCTCGCCGGCACCTGGGATCGAACCCAGGACCACAGGATCACAAGTCCAGCGTGCTGTCCGCTCGGCCGACCGGCTCCCATAGGTGGTGTGGCTCTCCGTCACAAAGACAAAAGATGCTGCTTTGGCCCTTGCAGTGTGTAAGTCACAAGCAGAAACAAAAAACAACTATTAGTTAAAGAATTAAAACAATTTACTGTAATATTAATGAACAAAAATTTGTTCCCCCAAAAGTTAATTCCCTAAATTAGAAATCTTTCATATGAAGAAAGATTAACAAAGCTTAAATTGCATTCACTGGAAAAGCGAATAGTTAGGGGTGACATGATAGAGGTTTACAAGTGGATGAATGTACATAAAGGGGATATTAATAGGGTATTAAAAGTATCTACACAAGACAGAACACGAAACAATGGGTATTAATTGGATAAGTTTAGATTTAGGAAAGACTTGGGTAAATACTGGTTCAGTAACATGGTTGTTGATTTGTGGAACCAATTACCTCGTAACGTGGTGGAGGTGGGGTCCCTTGATTGTTTCAAGTGCGGGTTGGACATGTATATGAGTGGGATTGGGTGGTTATAGGTAGGAGCTGCCTCGTATGGGCCAATAGGCCTTCTGCAGTTGCCTTTATTCTTATGTTCTTATGTTCCAGTATGAAGACGTGGGAGGAAAAGGCATTTCCACTGCTATACAGGGGATTCAAGTGACACTGTATATTAGTTGCAGAGTTATGTAATTAAATTTAAAATTGAAAGGGGATTTAATTTAATAGAAGATGGCATTTTATCTGTACAGTACTGGTACTGTAAAAATTGTTTGAATCGTTTGATAAAGCCCCTAGGCCTACAGATAGGGTGTCATCTTCAATAATGACAATTCTCAGCTTGGTGTTTCTTTAGAGTGTTGCCAGCATTTTGTTATGTATTCAACTAATTATTTAACACTTACATCTAGTGAGTAAGAGTAGCTAAAAGAAAATTCATAATTTGTAAGCTTTAGTTTCCACCATACTGCATTTTGTATATTATTCAATTGGTTACACGAATATATATAATGTTGCTGTTTACCAACACATTTGCACATTGTAATACAATGTCATTTTGGTGTACAATATAGTGTTCTTTAGTGTTGGTATTAATACTGTAAATTGCACTTAATAATAGTTTATAATTTTACATTGTTTTTGCTTTCAGCTGAACCCCAAATTAGAGTTGAGCCGCTCTGATCTTCTCAGATTGCTTTCCTACATGGAGGGTGAGCTCCAGTCTCGGGATGTTGTTATTGCAACACTCAAGGTATTGTGAACAATGAATCTTGTATGCAATTTATGAACATTTTAAAATATTTTCTGAGAGTATAGTATTTTAGAAGTGAATAGTACATACAGGCTTGTACATTAGTACAAGCAATAGTACATTGCAAATTTTGTATGGTTCATATTGAAGTGAAATTTGCCTTTTTAAACTGCTCAAAATACAATACAGTACTGTACTCTTATAATAAATCTTATCGTATTTCTTTGCCTTGATATTCTCTCAACGTGTTTTATTATTTTAGCAAATAACTTTACCAAAATGCTGCATGTGCTTAACACAGTAGTACAATCTGTAATTTCTTATTCGTTCCTGTTGTACTGAGGTATGTTTCACCTTCTATGTTTTCAGTCTCTTTCACTTACAAACTTACTTTCCTCGTGTTCTACCTAGTTACTCATTATTGTTACCCGTTGGAATAAGGACACTGAGATGCTAGTTATCATTTATAGTATTCCTCTTTTTGACCACACTTGGCTGCAGCACCACCAGGGATATCGTCTATATTTTCTTTAACTCCACTATGTTAGATTAATAGTGTCATGAACTTTGAGAGCATATTAATGACTGGAGAGGGTGGAGAGCATATGGGCTGTGATGGATGGCTGGTGGACAGCAGGAGTATTATCGGATGTGATGGATGGCAGACGGACATTAGGAGGGAGGGAGAGAATTATCAGGGAAAAGCGCCAAGCCATTGCGACTACTGTATATAGCACTTGGAAGGAGTCAGGATTTAGGATGGGACAGGGGAAGGAATTGTGCCCAACCACTTTGACTGTCGGAGGATTGAACGCCGACCTGCCTGAAGTGAGACCGTCGCTCTCGCGTTTAATGGGTTGTCCAGCCCAGTAAAGGATTTGATACCACTGTGCAGTCCCCGTGACACAGTGGTGAGACACTTGCCTCGCAATTCGCGAGCGATCTGGCCTAGGTTCATATCTTGGGAAGGATCGATTAGGTGCCAATCCTTAACTGTATGCCTCTGTTCACCCAGCAGTAAATGGGTATCTGGTTGTTAAATGATTTGGCAGGTCATATTCCAGGGAAAATTAAGACTAAAGGCCTGCCCAAAATGCTATGCATACTAGTGGCTTTACAAAAATATAAGAACTCTTGTGTATATAAAAAAAATTTATATATAAAAAATGAAACGGGATTGAGTTTGGTGGTACGTGGTGATGGCGGCATAGTTCAGAACTGTGGTGTTGGACATGGTCCAGCATGGTGGTGTGTGGTGCTGGTGGACATGGTCCAGCATGGTGGTGTGTGGTGCTGGTGGACATTGTCCAGCATGGTGGTGTGTGGTGCTGGTGGACATTGTCCAGCATGCTGTGTAGTCCACATCATTCAGCACCAGGTAGGCCTATATGGGAATGTAACAGCTTTCAAACACCTATAAAAGTGTGTACATTATTGTAGGATGCAAATTAGAGATGTATTTTTGGGGCAAAGTTAAGGAAAAATATGGACAGTGAGAAACTGATGTATGAGGAGTACAGTACAGTATATATAATAAGAGTTGTATAATTATAAAAGACACAAGGTGGTTTGGGCATAGTGACTTATGGCTAGTGATGAGTTATGGAAATGAGCACAGTATAGGAGGTGAAGACATATTTTGAGAAATGGGGCTTGGAAGGCCAGGCAAGTAAGTGGGTAAAATGTGAGTCATTATAGAGGTGTGTATGTGTGTGAAACTTTGTGAGGATCGGAACGTTTGGAGGAGTCGGTAAGTGCTCTTCTGCTATTGAGGGGACAATGATGTACTGTACTTGATATAGCTAAACTAGACTTTGTTTGAGGGTTCTTATATTCTTGTATTTGCATCTTTTTTTATATTTGCACAAATTACCTTTCACATGTGCTTGAGAAAGCATCTATAACTTGCACTCTCTAATTTAGTGTTGTATGAAGTAGCATTCTTAGCCTGTCTACAAGGAAACTGATGTGGAAACTTATTCTTAAGCCAAGTTAACAACTGAAACTCAAATACACTACAGTAATATTATTTTTCAGACTGAAAGAGTAAAAAATCTGCTACAGTATGGCCGAGTAGGATTGAGTGATCCATTTCTAGCATTACAAAGAGACAGCATTGGAGGTTCTGTGGTCCGAGGTGGGGGTGTCAATGAAGCTGAACTCAGAGCCTTAGAAGAGACACAATTAGCACAGCTTGAACACCTGATTGCTCAACAGCGCAAAGCACACCAGAGAATGCGTCACGTCTTAAGAGAAGCAGAAAAGGTAAATGAACCCATATATAATACATATAATACTTTGTTCTAGAGCATGTTTTAACTTTTGATTATGTGGACTTCGGCAGAAACACTTTCTTGAGAATCTGGACTCTATATTTTGTTCACTACAGTTTTTGGAGAATACAAATGGAATAAAAAAGTGTATGCAACATACTTTGGGTGTGATGGTGCAAGGAAATCCGGCAAGATGCAGGCGCCGACAGAGTACACCACACCCAGTTGGTCTGGTCAAGCCAAGCCACGTGGCGGGCGTTGCCACAAAAGATATTATTACTTATTTCAATATTTTGTTTTTTTGTTTTTTCAGTAAATGTTTTTTGAACAAGTGTGTTTGCTGTTATTACACTATGATTATAATTATACCGTATATTATATACTTTATAATTACACTATAATCATGTTGACCAGACCACACACTAGAAGTTGAAGGGACGACGACGTTTCGGTCCGTCCTGGACCATTCTCAAGTCGATTGAGAATTTCGGTCCAGAACGGACCGAAACGTCGTCGTCCCTTCAACTTCTAGTGTGTGGTCTGGTCAACATACTTCAGCCACGTTATTGCGACTCATCGCCTGCACTATAATCATATATAACTATCTACATATTCATGCACCATTACAATTGCTCAGAGTTTCTGGTGATTACAAATTGCTAAGAGATAATCTTATAACTGGTTATCCGAGTTCAGCCGAGTCACGCATACAGTATTTTGCAGTAAATTCTAACAGCACTCATTGAATATGTAATATTTTCTTTGTATTTTGAAAGTGTTTACAATAGATTTTTGAAGTGCAATGTTGTATTGGACTGTAAATAATTATTTTTGTTTCATTGAATGTACAGTACGTATATAAATGTTGATACACAGATATATTCATGTCACTAATATCAGTTAAATATTATATTCTTTGAACAATAAAACATACTGTTTTTGCTGTTATTACATTATATTCACACATTATATACTCAAATATTTGCATGTTTTCTTCACAAAAAAAGTGGATGTATAATTTGTGCGCATCATAACGAATCACTAATCTGGTCTGGTGAGTCAAAGCAGCATTACGCAGCACACGCTAGTCAGCTGACAACACTACCTCACTCGGTGGCAAAAATTCTTCTTCTCGACATAATACTGTATGTTTATTGCTAGTTCTAGGCACACTGCTGCTGCTATCATACTTCTGGTCACTAAATCCTGAAAATGAATAATTTCCACAAGTTCATTATGTAAGGAATATGAGCTGCCGTTTCTAGGTGGTTAGGTGGTCTAGCACTGTGAACATCATGAACAGCATTGTGTTCACTGATATCTGAACATTGTACACAGTCTTTATCACAGTCAGGCTATTCTAGATATTAATCTCGGTACTGTATCCAATTTATGTTATTTTAAACATTGTAATAGATTTTGTGCCTTACGATTTCATTGCTTTTTGAGTCCTAGATCTAATTTTTCAGTCGATTTCTTCAAACTTTATCATGATATTTTATGTTCAGGACACTTTATTTGTTGGAATTTAAATTTTGCTGTATTTTTTAATCTTATTGCGTATATAGTTTTGATTGTGTGTGTTTTCTCCAGCAGAAATTTTTGAGTCCTTGTTTGAATTATAGTACGTACAGTATTTCCCAGCAATTTCTTCATGTTTAAGAATACCATAGTCATGGTCATCTCTGTCATGCTGTAACCTCTCTACAACGTTGGCAGTGGTCAGCCTATGTCAGCTCTAAACATTCTATGGTTGTCATAATCAAATCAATAAGAAAAAGGCATCCCAAAATTATGAAAATCGGGATGAAAATTATCTCTGAAGAGTTGAGAGAGCCAGAGAGAGAATGAGAGAGA